CATAAATAGAATCGGCCAAAAGCCTGACCCTACAGCAAATCAGCCTGTACGTCTCCTCAAAGTCGTACTAAACTCCCAAGAAGAGAGGAATGCCATTGAAAGCAACTCTCAAATTCTTAAAGGATCAGGCATATATGACCGTGCCGACGTAAGCCTAGAAGGCCGTGTCAAAGGACAGTCTGCGGCCCTAGAATTAAGCGAACGATGCCGAAACGACGAAGAAACCTTCAGATCAAGGATTTTTGGGTTTTCAGAGTTCGACGTTTGATGATCCCGAAACGTTCATCGGTAGGCCGCGGAAGCGCCAAACAGGATTGACAGTTTTCTACACACTGTGCCCACAAACTGCTGAACAAACGGAGTGAGCTGCGTAATGTGGCAGACTCCGGAAATTCGGATGTAATTATCATCACAGACGCATGGCTCACAATCGATGCCACTGATAACGAAGTTAACCTGCCAAACTTCGAAGTGCATGGGGTGGACCGACTAAGCCGCAAAGGAGGTGGCGTAGTCACCTACCTTAACAAATGCTTAACCTTGTGTAGCATTGAAGTGCACGCTCACGAAAGGGAATCGTGGGAACTTCTGCGCTACAGGCTTAAATGCGTAGGCCAAGACATTGACTTAAGTGCGATGTGCCGCGGTCCTGACCAGTGCAGATTACTTCTTGAAAGGGAAGCTAGGCTCCTGGATATCGAAATGCCGAAGTCTCGTACTTGGTGATTTCAACGCTCCAACAGCTGACTGGACAAGCCTTACAACACCATCTACAAACAGCTCCTTTGATCACAAACTGCTGGAATCTAGCATTTCACCAGCATGTCATTAGGCCCACGCGCTATGATTCACAGCACTTCTCTGCAGCTCTGGACCTAGTGTTCTCCCATGGTGAAAATGAGGATCTCATTCAACATCCTTCTCCTTTAGGAAGAAGCTATCACGCTGTGTTCATCTTCAAGTCCACGGCATCATCATGGGTTAAAACTCCAGCTCGACCAAACGTTTGGAAAGCTGATATAGATGCAATCGTCTCAGCAGCCAACTCAGTAAACTGGTACATCAACCCAGAGTCCCAAGTAGAAGCCGCATGGAAATAGTTTAAACAACTTTACGCTCAAGTAACTGAATTTTTATCCCTTGACCTGTCCCAAAGCCTCGGAAACATTGCTTCTCTTGGATAAATCGAGAGATTCGCAAGTTACTCAGACGCAGACACAAATGTTGGAATCTGTTTGCTACACTTGAGACTCCCGAGACCAGTAAGTTATGCAACACTGCTAGGAACAAAGCTATTGCAGAAATCCGCCAATCAAGGATGAATTTCAAAGCAAATTTGGCTCAAAATGCGAAGGCACAACTTAAGAAAATATTCTCGTACATGAAACTTGGGAATAAAGCATCCAATGCTGTTCCAAACCTGACCATTGACTATGACGCAATCAAAGATCAAGAGAAAACAGAACCAATGGCAGACTAATTCTCCCAAGTCTTTACACAGGAGTCTTTACTCTGCGTAGGATCACCTTTGGCTGCATCAAAGGAACACTGGATAGATTTCGTCGACGTCGACCAAGACATGGTGGTCAACTGCCTAATGAAACTAGATGCAGGGAAATCAATGGGTCCTGATGATCTTCATCAAACGCTTCTCAATGAGCTATCAGTGCACACAGCCAGTTCATTGACCACTAACTTCAAGCGATCTCTCTTAAATGAGGTGTTACGGCGTGACTGTAAAGACGCCATAGTAACCCCATCCACAAAGACAAAGCCATTCAAATAACAGGCCTATTAGTCTTACTGGCACTTTAATCAAGACGCTGGAAAGAACCATCAAGAAAAGTATCATGACAAATTCGGTAAACAACAGTTTGTTATCCAGAGGAGAGCATGACCCTCATGCCCGTCATATCTCTTCAATGCAAGAGAAAACTGGGTCGAATCAAGGGACAACAGAAGAACCGCTGGCATCATCTTCGTGGACTTATGCAAAGCCTTAGATAAAGTTCATTACAAAGGACTACTCATGAAGTAAGAAAGTCTTGCTATCAAGGGCAGATTAGTAAACTGGCTTAGGGAAATGCACAGAGATAGAAGGCAGAGGGTTAGGATAAACTTGAAACTGTCCTCCTGGATAGTAGTGAGTAGCAGAGTGCCACAAGGTACAACACTTGGACCTTTCTTATTTATTTTGTGTATCAGTGATTTATCTTAACTCACCAATTCCCCTATGGTCCTATGGGCAGAAGAAGAGCAAAAGTGATATGCTCACGTTGCAAAAAGGACCTCAACGAATGGTCAGAGTGGTCCAGAGAATGGATGATCCCTATCAGTGTAGCAAAATATGCAACCATGCACATCGGACGAGCAAGCATCGGCTCCTACGAACTGGAGGGAATAACACTCCCATCAGTTCAGATTCATTTGGATTTAGGTATCATAGTCACGATTTAAAACTACAACCCGCTGTCGCGTGGTGGTTGCACATAGTTTTGGAAACTTACGGATAATTTACAGAGCCTTTACTAGAATCACCGAAGGTATGTTCGCCTCATTGCATACATGTTTGCTGAGGTCAAGAACGGAAAACTGTATCCAGCCAATCCTCGTCTTAAAGAGGACTCATATATTCTAGAAAGGGTACAAAATTGCAATATGCATGATTTTCGGCATGACTCACCTAACATACGAGAAAAAACTAGGCACAACTGGTAGATGGTGGCTAGCAGTGGAATCCAGGATGCGCATTTCGTCCTTTTTGGGACTCGTCATCTGGATGTACCTGCATTTCTCAGTGAGTGATGATGTTCCCACCGAGGCTCGAACCCAGTGCCCATAGTTTCAAACGCCAAAACGTTATCCACTAGACCACTTGGGCCACGAGAGCCACCTCTTGTGCAACGGGTCATAATAATTATTGAATTGAATTTTTGATTTTCCCGTCGATTGATTGTGCTGAAGTGCTCGGTCTCAGGACGAAATGCGCATCCTGGATTCCACTGCTAGCCACCATCCACCAATTGTATACCAACTAAAGGCCCAGACATCGTCGAGGCATCTGCACAAGAAGCCGACATGTCAACCTGAGACCAAGCACTTCGGTACAATCAATCGACGGGAAAATCAAAAATTCAATTCAAAAACTAGACAGTTTGAATCTTTTCTGCCTGTCGTACCGTAGGAAGAAAGGAGATTTAATCACAATGTTTAAAATTTTAAATAATAACTCTATTCCTTCCCACCAGGTCGGAACAACTTAATTGAAATAGCGGGGGAGTTCGAAATATAAGAAGAAATCATATTACTGTTAGGTACTGGTTCTCACACCGAGTCACAAACTCCTGGAGCCTACTCCCAGATGAAGTGGTGTCTGCAACTTCAACTGATTCATTCAAGAAGAGTTTAGAAAACCATTGAAATTAACTAGAAAAAGGATAATATAGGCTTCAAGCCTTCTATTTTCAACAAATAAATCTGAATATGAAATATGAAAATCTGAGGCTCAAGGTCACTTTGAATTTAGTAGTGAAAGTTGAACTTCACCGGATGTTGGAACGAAAATCGAGCAATGCGTTACAAACATTCGTCGGGCATGTTAGCCGTATTTAGATAAATATATGCCTATGTAGCAGTTTACACTTAGTATGTATGGCCACATTCTATGTTGATGAGCTTAATTTGTGTGTTAGGAGCACTAATCAGCTGATTCAGAATTGTTATCAAAATTAAAAGTAAGTTCTCCTAAGCTAACAATAGTGCTCAAATTAAGCTCGAAAAATCTGAACTAACGCTTATTCTTCATAATGGATAAGTTGTAAACGATGCGATCTGTGCAAATTAGTTCTGTAGTCTGCTTCTCGCACGGTTAGTTATTTGGGATTGTCAGAAGTAGTGCAGAGCAGGTTTATTTCAACTTTCTCTGCTCTAATTCAATACTGACGAGCATTGTTTCAATACAGTGAGCATCACTTAAGCGTCTTGTGCTATTTATTTGCCCTAACAGCCTGACTTCAGTACATAATAGGTTATGTTTAGGCACACAATAAATATATTGAATTATCTATTAACATTATCATTAACTAATAAAGTATAATTATATTTTAATAGTTTACACACAATGATAAGTTTTGTTATTGGTAATATTTCGAGCAAAATTATTGCTTGTGTTCACACCACTGTTCGAATTGTTTTATTCACACATTTATGATTTATATATATATATATATATTATATATAGTTCATTATTTTTCATTATTATTATATTTTTTGCTCATTCATGTTTTGTGTGTGCATATATGTGTTAAGAATTATGCTCCACATTCATTCATGTGTTTGTATTTAGAATTATATTCCAAGTTGTTGATAGTTGTACTGAGTCACCCTTGTTACATGTATCCGGTGTGACTTTAATGAATATCGATTCTGTTATGAGTCTTTCTTTCCATTTGTTCATGTTTGTTTTTAGAATACACACATTCTCCCAATCGATATTGTGGTTTTTGTCCCATGCATGTGCAGCTATCGATGAATTTTTTTCAAGATTTTTGTAAGCTTGTGTCCCTGTTGGTTGACCTTTAGTTAGGCGTTTATGTTCATTCACTCTTATTTTGAGTGATCTGGACGTTTGCCCCACATATTTAGTTGGACAGTCAGCACAAGATATTTTATAAATCAAATTGTTTTTATCCATCATTTTTATGGGATCTGTCAGTTGATTTATTTTATTTTTGATTAGATTTGTCGGTTCTAACGTTGTTCGAATGCCGATATTTTTGATGTTTCTTTGTATTGCCTCTGATGTACCATTTTTGTGTGGCATTGCGACTGTTTTTTTCCATTCTTCCATCTTGTTATTCTCCGGTTTTACCCTCTTTTTTCTCTTTTTTACATTATCTTTTATAAATTCTCTAGGGTAGTTGTTTTCGAGTAGCATTTTGAATAGGACTTTTATTTCTTTACGCTGGTCCTCTGGTGCTGTTGTAAGTCTACGTATTCTATCTGCAAGACCTTGTATTAATCCTCGTTTTACCGTGAGTGGATGAGCTGAGTAATAATCAAGGAATCTTCCAGAATGTGTGGCTTTTCTATATATCGTTGTTTTTATGCTACCATCTGTCATTCTTTATAGTTTGCAATCTAACATGGGCAGTTCTCCAATTTCATTCTCTAATTCCATAGTGAATTTTATTGAGTCGACGTGTCTGTTTATGTGTGAGAAAAGTTTCTCCGTATCGTTTTTTTCACTATTACTAGTGTGTCGTCTACATATCTACACCAACATTTTAGTGATGATCTGAATGGTTTAAGGCCATTCTCCTCCCAATAATCCATGAATATGTCAGCTATAATTGGTGAGATAGGCGATCCCATAGCTACTCCCTCATTTTGTTGGTATATTTTTCCTTCGAATGTGAAATATGTTGTCAGACAGAAGTCTACCCCTTTTATTATTTCTTCTACGGATAACTGTGTTCTGTCTTTCAGGCCATTATCTTCATTTAGTTTCTCTTTCAGTGCAATCATGGCCATTTGAATGGGTATTTTCGTATAAAGACTGTTTACATCAAAGCTAACTAGTATTTCTTCCTCCTCTATTTTAGTGGTTTTTATTCGCCTCACTAATTCAAATGATTCTACTATTCTAGCTTTTGAGTTGTCTCTTGTCGGTCTTAGTATTGTCGAGAGAAATCTGGATAGCATATACGTTGGTGTGTTTCTGAAGTCTACAATCGGTCCTATTGGATATCCCTCTTTATGCAATTTTATCTTACCATATATCTTAGGTACATTACAAGATTTTGGCATAATTTCAAACCATTTTGACTTACCAATTACTTCTTTCATTTGTTTAACTACCTAATCCACAATGCTCAAACTTTTTACTGATATTAATTATTATTAACATTATAGGTGCATAGTTCGGATATACTGTAGAATTATTGTAAGCTGTTAGAGAATTTGGAAATAAATTTAAGATTTGCATCATTTGACTAAATGTTGGAACATACCTGGGAAGTTTGTCCTCAGTTTTGGGATTGATTCGCTACCAAATTTCTATCTGAGGAAGTTTGTGATATACGAAGGCATGAGGTTATCTTGAAGTCCACCCAATTAATGGCGTGGAAGGGATCCTCTTTACTCAGCAACTATGAGTACTCGAATATTTATAGTTGCATGTAATATCCATTTGCATTGTCCTCTAGCGTGTTTGTAGGCATGGCTATAGACCTGTGATGTCCGCTATCTGGCACGAAAACACTTTAAAAATAGAGATGCATGATGGAATAAACATTAGTCTGGTGTCAAATAAAATAGATGCAACTCGACACCCCAAAAGTGACGATATCTTTATCAACGTAAAATATTGCAACGGTAATCAAACCTTAAAAATCGTATAAACATGCTTTTCTCGACGTTTTGTAGTCGCAGAATAAAGGTGTTTATTGTATGCGCTTATGTATACTTTCCTATCATCCCTTCATTACTTGTAAAGTGGACTTAACCCTATATATTCATTTCAGATAGGCTACGAAAATCTATTCGTTAAACTTGTTATATTTTTTTTTGGTGGGACATACAATACGATGGACTGTAGTTCGTGCACTGGAATTCATTAGGTACTAAAATACACAGCTAGTTTATAGCTCATACAGGACCACGCGCCGATTCAGGTATGATAATCTTTAGAGAGTTGGAAAAATACAGTGAAGGTGGTTTTATAGCACACGCATCCTTAGTGGCTAATTCGTCTACCCCCACTCTTCGTAGCTAGCTTGAAAATATCGCGACCAATTTGTGACTTGGAAAAATGATAGCTTTCGTGTACTATTTCGTCGTATTATCACATATTATTCCGGTTGAAATGGAATGTAAACATCAGTTCCCCATCTCTAACCGAAATCCCTAAAGCTGTTTAGTAGAAGGCGAGTTAAGCCTTCAGATACTGATGGCTTGAGTCCTAAAGGATTCACAGATAGTGGTGTTGAATCCAAGTTTATTGTATAGTAGTCTGAAGAAGTTTCATCATACACGTAAGTCGTTGGCCAGCCCTGTTAATAAGAAAGCGGACAAATCCTAATGACTACCAATTCAGTTCAGTCCAGTTCTAAATTCGTTGTCATTTACACATTCTGCAATGAAAATGAAGGTTATTATGCATGAATTAACCTTTAATTATCTAAAAAGAATAACGATAACTGCAGTAAGATGAGTAAAATCTGTTTTACTTCATCAGTAGCTTGTCAATCTCTAACAACGTAGAATATCAAGGTATCTGGTTGCATTGCAGCATTTAATTTATTTAACTTCGTTGAAGGAGCTAAAATGTTGGTCTGTCGTTGAAAGGGGCATAAATAACTCCGTGTAGTGTTAAATCGTAATAGTATGCATGAAAGAAATAGGTAAAGTTTAAAAATCCATTATGCATATAGGTTGGTTTTCTAAGTTTCTAGGATATTCAGGGGTATGAAATGCACGATTACGTGAGTCATTAGAAAGAGTTACTACACAAAATGTAGTGAGTCAAACTGAATGAGTGGAAAGCACACTACATTATTAAGCTGTGATGCCCCTGATATAGGGAAATAGTAACGTGTATATTGGATAAAAAGTATCATCAATTTGAAAAACAAGTTACTAAAACATAGAGGGTCTTAATTCAGTTTTTGCTTGGATCCTTGGAGCTCATGACGTCTAATGTTGATAGCTCCAGCGAATTTAATGGGGTGTGAGAGTGTTTATTTTCACCAGCTTGAAAGGATTCAAGGTGTCCGTTTAAAATACTGCGTCAACGATGTTGTGAACTTTTCTTATAATACGTATCTAGTCATATTCATATCTCTACCGCTATTAACACTCTTTTTTTCCTTTATATGTTTAAGCCATTCCGGCTTCATTGTAAAATGAATAAAGCCTAAATTCTTGGTTCATTCGTCTTTTCAAGATTCAAGCATCACTCATCGTTCTAAGACTCAATCACCTTCGTAACAATTTATTCATTTTACAATATTCATGGAACGATTTTTCCGACCTGATCGGTTCGACGTAGAACCTAACGCAGTTGGAGCTGCCAAGAAGTGGGATCACTGGTTTGCGACTTTTTCCTACTTCATTGAATCAATGGGATCCGAAAATCCTTCGAAACTACATATTCTCTTCAATCATATTTCTACTTCTGTATACGAATGCATTTCTGAATGCAAAACATACGAAGAAGCTATCGACACTCTCAAGAGTCTCTACATGCAGCCTTGCAACGAAGTGTTTGCTCGACACTTGTTAGCAACGTGTAAACAAGAATCTGGCGAAAATCTGGATCAGTTTGTTCGTCGACTCAAGTCGCTGACTACAGATTGTTCATTCAGGGCAGTTACAGCCGAAGAACATCGTAACGAATCTCTACGTGATTCATTCATCTCAGGTATACAGTCTTCGATGATACGCCAGAGGCTATTAGAACAGCGTACTTTAACTTTTCAAGCGGCATACGATCAAGCACGAGCTCTAGAGATGGCACATCAACAATCGCAGTCATACAACAATCCTGTTACACCTTGCGCGTCCATTTCTTTACATGATGTACCTCATTCATCAGATTCCACACCCTCCGTCAATGAAACAACCATTGCTGCCGTTGAATCCAAATGCTTTTTCTGTGGTAATCGTAGACATCCTCGTTCCAAATGCCCCGCCCGTGATGCAGTTTGCAAAGCTTGTGGCAAGCAAGGACATTTTCAGAAGGTTTGCAGGTCTGCGCCATCTACGAAAAAAGGTCCATCTTCAGTTAACTCTATAATTTCATCTCTCGTTGTGGCTTCAGCACCTCAAAGTCTCACTGATGCTGTTACGCAGCTTACTGTCAATGGGAAATCAATGCAAGCTCTAGTGGATACCGGAAGCAGTGAGAGCTACATCTCTTCCTCAGTTGTTCGTAAGTATAACTGGAAAGTCCATAAGTCTCGAAACAGAATCACAATGGCGAGTACGAATCTTACTAGTCATACTGAAGGACATTGTCTTCTATCCATCTGCTATAAAAACCACACTTATGATCTATTCAAATTTTCCATTCTTCATAATTTATGTGCAGACGTCCTTCTTGGACATGATTTTTTAAAACTTCACAAACACATTGAGATTCCTTTTGGGGGATCAAAGCCGCCTTTTTCTCTCTGTGGTCTACCTTGTGTTCGCGTCGACCTGCCTACTCTGTTTGAAAATCTTTCAAAAGACTGTAAACCGATCGCGATAAAATCCCGGCGTTATTCTCGTGAAGATGAAAGTTTTATTTCCACCGAAGTCAACCGGTTACTGCAAGAAGGTGTTATTGAACCTTCTAATTCTCCTTGGCGAGCTCAAGTTCTTGTTACGTCAAACGAACGCCATAAAAAGAGGATGGTAGTTGATTATAGTCAGACAATCAATCGATTCACTTTTCTGGATGCTTACCCATTACCTAGGATTGACGAAATGATAGAAAAAATCGCACAATATGACATATTCAGCACTCTTGATCTGAAGAATGCTTATCATCAAATTGCCCTAAGGAACGAAGATAAACCATATACTGCTTTCGAGGCTTGTGGGAAACTTTACCAATTTTGCCGAATTCCTTTTGGTGTTACCAATGGCGTAGCTTGTTTTCAACGCATTATCGATGAATTGATCAGTAAAGAACAACTCACAAGCACGTTTGCCTACATTGACAATGTCACTATCTGCGGCAAAACTCAGGAGGAACACGACAAAAATCTAAACAAGTTTATGGTAGCAGCACGCAATTATGGAATAACCCTTAATGATTCCAAAAGTGTGATCTCAAGCAGAAGCATACAATTACTCGGTTATGAAGTTTCAAAGGGGGTTATTAAACCAGATCCCGATCGGCTAAAACCTCTTCGTGATCTAGAACCACCCACAGATATCAAATCTCAACAACGGGCCGTTGGATTATTTGCTTATTATTCACAGTGGATCCCTCGCTTCTCAGATAAAATCCACCCATTGGTAAATAATCGGATTTTCCCTCTTGATATCGAAACTCGAAATGCTTTTGACAAACTGAAAGACGACTTAGAACGTGCAGTCGTTGTGGTAGTTGATCCGAAAGCACCCCTTGTTGTTGAAACAGATGCTTCAGATGTCTCAATTGCAGCTACATTAAACCAGAATGGTAAACCTGTCGCCTTCTTTTCTCGAAGCCTCTCTCGAAGTGAGAAACATCATTCATCGGTTGAGAAAGAAGCCTATGCCGTGGTTGAAGCAATTCGTAAGTGGAAGCATTACCTTCTCGGAAATCACTTCAAACTTGTCACTGATCAACGTTCAGTAGCATTCATGTTTGACAAGATTCATAAAGGCAAAATCAAGAACGATAAAATAATGCGTTGGAGAATTGAGCTATCCCCTTATCAATATGACATCATTTATCGTCCTGGAAGGGATAATCAAGCTGCTGATACATTTTCCCGTAGTTTCTGCGGTTCCTTGCAGTCAGTGTGCGACTTGAAATTTCTCCATGACTCTATGTGCCATCCTGGAGTTGTCCGAATGATGCATTTTGTACGCTCGAGAAACCTTCCATTCTCCCTTGACGAGGTGCGCAATGTAACCAGTAAATGCGTGACATGCTGTGAGTTAAAGCCTCAATTTTACAATCCCTCTAATTTCAAACTCATAAAAGCAACCCAACCTTTTGAAAGGTTAAGCATCGACTTTAAAGGACCTCTACCGTCAGCTAGCCGCAATCACTATCTGCTCACGCTGATCGATGAATATTCTCGATTCCCCTTTGCATTCGCCTGCCCCGACATGTCGTCTCAAACGGTAATGAATTGCCTTTGCCAACTGTTTTCGATTTTCGGTATGCCTTCTTACATACATACCGACAGAGGCGCTGCTTTCATGTCTACCGAATTACGGGCATTTCTTCTGGAGAAAGGCGTAGCAACCAGTCGTACTACCTCATACAATCCTCAAGCCAATGGGCAGGTCGAGCGCCTCAATGGAACACTTTGGCGTGCCATCACTCTAGCATTAAGATCACGGGGCCTACCAACGGCACAATGGGAGTCTGTTCTACTCGACGCCTTGCATTCCATCAGATCTTTGCTCTGTACTGCAACGAACGCCACGCCACACGAACGACTGTTTACCTATAACCGAAGATCGACATCTGGGACAACTCTTCCTACTTGGCTCACTGTACCAGGACCAGTACTTCTCCGGCGGAGTGTTCGTCAGTCCAAATTCGATCCCCTGGTTGAAGAGGTGGAGCTATTGAATTGTAACCCGCAATTCGCTCACGTTCGCTTCGGTAATGGACGTGAAGATACAGTTGCTCTTCATCATCTGGCACCCAAAGGCGAAGATATAGATCAAGTTGAAAATTCAATACCGGAGGGCGACGCAATTCCTGAGCAACAAGTAAATGGGGATGCGACCACTGATCCTAATATTCTTCGTGAAGAAAATACAACTGAAACGAACAACGGGCGTATTCTTTTGGAAAAACAACAACGTGTACGGCCTTACAATTTGCGTACCAGAGAAGCGTGACATAATGGCTCATTCCTTTTCAAGCCGCAGTGAATGTTGTGAACTTTTCTTATAATACGTATCTAGTCATATTCATATCTCTACCGCTATTAACACTCTTTTTTTCCTTTATATGTTTAAGCCATTCCGGCTTCATTGTAAAATGAATAAAGCCTAAATTCTTGGTTCATTCGTCTTTTCAAGATTCAAGCATCACTCATCGTTCTAAGACTCAATCACCTTCGTAACAAACGACTTATCGAAAAATTGCTCTGTTCAAAATTGCACATCTTAATCCTAAATACTTCAGAACATGTCCAGAGCACGTATTACATAATAATCAATGTTTAATCAGTTGATTTGCTTTGACAGTTGCACCTAAGTTGATATAAATAGCTAAGGTTATACTGAAAGGGTACCTGTGAATTTTATACTGAGACAAAAATATCTGACACAGAAGAATGAAGTTGGTTGCAAGAATATTTCCCGTTACTACCTCACTGATGGCACATTTTGCTGTCGGAATTAAATAACATTGACACCTATTGGTAGAAGGCATTTAAAATTTTATACTGACAGAGGAGATCTGAATTTCAGCTTGAAGTATCGATGCTTTGAGAAAGAGGTTCTTTGTGGATAGTGAGTCTATATCCAATGACACCACAAATTTCATGCACGTATTAGGAATCTTTCATTGATTCCTTACACATTGTCAGGCTGTGAAACAAACGCAATTGTTGGTGCATAATGTTTGTTATATTTCTTGGCCTACGACTGATGTAATGTTTTATGGTTTTGAAAAAAATTACAGTGAATATATACAGTTGCTTATCTTGAAAATATTACATTTCACTTAAGTCCTCCTGCCACCGAGATTAGAAATCAGATCATACGTTATAACTAAGTTATATGTACCGGGCCATAAGGCACACTTGTTGTGAAAGGGCTGATAATACTACCCACTTGCTGAGGCTGAAGTAGGATGTCTCTGTATTACCGTTGTGGGTTCACAGTCAAGAAAAACTTTTAGACAAGAAGAAAAAGTTGCTCGATGAGGTCATAAATCTTTACCAACTAAATCGCTGGCGTGTATACTAGGCATCACCATCAGTGGTCTATGGTAACCGAAGTCGAATTTAATTGGAAAGCAACTAAAGTTGACCAGCTTAGTTTGGTGTCTCAGAGTGTTTGTTAAAGCCATCCATGAAGGTGTGTTCTAGAGATGTTTGTCTGGAAACCTTTGGTGGTATGGCCTGAAGTTGTTTGTAATTATCTACAAATTGAGAACTTTATTACCAAGCATCTCTCAAACAACGTGACATGTTTTTCCGTTGTGAAACGTTCTGAATGTAGTAGCTTTTTTCTGTGTTGATGAGCTTATGCATTTTGATGCAATATTTTACGCCTCTGTAGCTGATCAGCTCTAGCGCAATTTCCTTATTTGTAGATGCTGAGTAAAATAATTTAAAAGACGTGTAGCATGATAGTAAACAATGGAAGCAATAAGTAAGCTCACTAAATCTTCCTTCACTTTTGTTTATAATTAGAACTTAATTATGATACTTAATCACAATAGTGAATACGTACCTGAAATATTACTCAGAATAATTCATGGTGGCTGTTTGATCACATTTTAAGATTCCAACTGATAACAAGAATATCTAGTAAAATCGGTGTCACAGTCTAAGAATATAATTTATTCCTTTCATTTTTCACCACTTACATACCAATTCGCCATTGGAAATTTAATGTTAGCTTTTTTGTATATCCCGTCGATAACAGTAAAAATAGCTATCCCAATCAGTACTTAGGAAGGATACATTTTCTTAGTTCGCTATCTATATATTTTACATTTTTGATGCTTTTACTATGGTGAGTCTGACTTGTTTTCTATTTTTTTTGGCTTCATAAGTTACATTCTCACAGTAGAATCCATCCGACCAATCCCATTCAGTACTGTTCAATGGTCATGAATATAAATATCAAACACGTTATTCATTTGGCAACATTTGTGCAATATCGCCCGATAAATCATATTTTTATATAGCGTCAGTCAGGGGGAGTGATGCCATCTGGTTCTGAAACACCACTGTTCACTCTCAATAAATGGTGTAACTTTTTTGGGATAGATTTAACTTGGACCTGTGAAGAAAATGGTGCCTATCACAACAAAGTGTTTCGCGTTACTCTTATCGTTCATCATCGCAGTTTACGTGATTCTGAAGTGTACTTTGGCATTGGAAAGCGTATTTTAGAAGCAAAACATCGAGCTGCTGAAAATGCTCTTCTATCATGCAGATTGTTCGAGGAGTCCAGACTGAGTTTAGAGTTACCGGAGACTGAAAGACCTTGTATCAAACTAAAGTGTGTGAGTTTTTTCCAAAAACGTTTTTTCTTACTCTTATTCTTAATGATGTGCGCGAAATGCTGCTCAAAAGTCTGACTGGTATCTATTCTAGTACCATTTACCTTAACTGGCAACAAAACTGATTTTTTCTTTTCTTGGAAACGTCAGGCTTGTTTTCATTCATAACGTTTTTGACTTTGTCCTCTAGAAAATTCAAGACTGAGTACAAATTCCTTTACTGCATTGTAAATTACACTCACTTCATTTGGTGAAGTAAAACTCTTTGACTGGTAAAACCTTGATAGGAAAAAAGGTTGTAACTTGTGGCTTTTTGATATACAGTTAAGTAACTGAACAAATCAGCTTCGCATAATAGAGGGCACTTGTTTGCGTAGTTATATTATAGGTAAAGATATTCTTTTACAGACTTGATATAGATTTCATCCGTTATTTTCGGGAACACGCAATCTAATGTAATTTCTTCCCGTCATCTGGTATGCATAGGTATAAAGTCCTATGTATAATATAGATGAAGCATGCATTACTAGCGAGACCTTCCAGTGTTTTACCCACTAGTCCCTGTTGTCCAATTTTTCATCGAATTGTGAACAGTGAAGGTGGCAAGCTTCAATGAAACACATTCAATCAGAATAGTTGTATTCATAGCATCTTGAAGGCCAGCTTTCTAAAGATGAACAAATTTGGCACAATGACGAACACCTGATAATTATAAACAAAACAACAAGCTTAAAGATGATAGAAGTAAAATAAGACATTTTTTCTGGGGAATGACAACAAACCTATAATGAAATGAATCACTGGATATGTGATTCATGAATTGGGATAAGATGGCAGTCGTCTTCCACTGAGTTATACCCTCTTAGTGTACTAGCCCTGGTAGCTAGAAAGTGTTGTCCAATGGTCTACACATCGTTCATTGTTTGCTCACTCTAAGGTGGTGGCGCTCAGTCCATTAGTAGAGATCAGAAAGGACTAGACACATCACACTACTTACTAGTGTCCAATCAAAGTGCCCACCACAGCCCTACAGGAGGTCAATCGCAAGCCTAAATAGCTCAGTGTTAAGGTCTCTAACTGCAGCACTGGGTGATGCGGGTTTGAATCTCAGAGGGGACATAAATTCCTTCAAGTTTGCAGATACGTCTTTCTGACTGATGAGTGCCAACTAGCACTAAACCTGAGTCCAAGGCTTCCTGTTGCCGATTACCTCCAACCATCTAATATCATCAAGAGATTAGTTCTGTTGTGATAGTAATTGTTTTTGCATCTTGACTCCTTAGGTGGAATGGGAGAGGTCGTTCCGTATGTCTAGAGATGTTTTGAAGTTTTGCTCAGTATCGAAGTGAATGAGAGTGGTGCTGTAGCTTTCTTGTTTTTTCTGCTTTTGAAGGGGATACGAAGTGTCGAACACTATTTTGAATGCACTCTATGAGGATACTTATATTTCTCTAGTTATTCCCAAACTACTTTTTCTCAATATTTGCTATGACGGAGTGTTACTGGGTTGTCGTGTTCATCAAATTTGACTAGAATGCACCTCCAAACACGACACTATCACCAGCTGATCATGTGAAAATATGTCTCTTACTGAGACAGACATAAAAGATTGGGATAGATAACGACGACCAACAACAACAACAGCATCGACTATTTTTATTACACAAAATACGTGGTATGTCATATTTACAAAACCTCAGGAATTTAAGCCATAAATAAACGAATAAAAATTTGTCCAAACAGGTTATCATGTCAGTGCATACAGTATGACTTCACAGCTAACAAAGAAGCTTGTCCGTCTAATAATTTCCTAAAATTGTTTCTTACTTTATGAAGCAGTTCGTTTTTCTCACTGTTCCACGAAGTTCACTTTTGAATAAACAGGCTATATATCATACTGCTTCACTACTTGGTGGTATGCAGAATTTTCGGGTAGTTGCGCTGTAATGAGTGTGTGAAAATGACTAAAATATTATGTATTATTTAGCAACACTTTATACTGATTCTTAGCGTATTTTTCTCTATAAATGTATTTTATACCAGTTCATGTTTTGTGTTTAGGTAAAACCTTTTATTATTCTCATGGAGTCTTCTTCGACTCCTGATTCGCCCAAATTACAGCTTAAACAGCTAGTTGCTTTACTTGGTTCAAAAGTGAAATTTATTCACTCGGGGCGTTCTACGGACAACGCTTTGGTAAGTATTGCTTATGTCTTTTTACTAGACTGGTTAATTTCACAACAACTGCGTTATGTGGAACTTTTGTGTCGTCTTTCTAGCCTTTTTTCAGTCACAATATTTAGTTGTTTGTTATATCCAAACATGAAGCACTTCAAATCATAACTTTCCTTGATATCACAAGTTCATTATTTTGTAATTTCTTAAAATAGATAAGACCTTGTGATTGGTTAGTGGTTTCATTGAAAGGTGTTCACTCAAGTCAGTATTACTCAACAGCCATTTATAAAATTCCATGCATTTTGCAATAAGCCTCAGCTATTGTGTGAGTGCTGATAATTCTCTCCAGGACTGTCTGGACCTCAGTGCATGGAATGGGATTTAAACCAGTGACGTAGAGGCTAGAAATCGAGCGCCACAGCTCCTCATTGAAACGAATAACAACATAGTAAAAAAATGATTTTTATTTGGTTTAGTTCCCTTTGACTGCTTACCATAACTAATATGAATATTCTGGAAATGCCATAATGATTAAGCGTACCTCAGTAAACTAAGAAGGTCGCATAGTTTAAATTGTTCCTTGTATCCAGGTTTTGCTTAGCGAACGCTCTCGTGTCATCTTCGTGACGACAGCGCTTCACTAAAAAGTGAAGTATCTTGACTGTGTGAATGGACGTCTAGAACATTTCGCTTAACCTTTTGTCAATCAAATCGATCATTCTGTGTGAATATGTCTTAAATCTGAATTTTCAGTAGTTTTGTGGAAACCAGGATTGTATTGTTTCTCAATCATGTTGAAGATTTCTAGGCATCAATCTATAGTAATGTCATTTCACAACTCGACTATATTAGGTATTGTTTTTTTAATTTAATTTTTTTTATTTTTTGATTACAGCTTGATTTCACACCATATTTTTGGTACAGGTATGGAATTTTCAGCATGTGATATCGGTAGCCCAAATTTTGCAGACCGACTATAGATATCAGGTGTGCGTCGGCAGGGGATCGAACCCCCGACCATGTGCATAGTCGGTGAGAGTCGTAACCGTTGTGCCACCGACGCACATAATATAATTACTTCATGAGTGGTTTAGGCCAAAATAGAATTCCTTAGTTGCGGAAAGATGAGGAGAATCATCATGTATGTAGTAAGGCACTATCTTTGTACTTTAAGGAGGGGAAAATTATTTAATTCTGTTCCAAGGATCTTTTATTGATGACTTCACTACTCATTCCGTCTTCGGGTGTGTTCGTTTCACTAAAAGATAATTGGCAAAACTGTAAACCCTTTCTAAGGAGATTCGATCACACTCATGTTGACTTTTCATAATTACACAGTTACTTGCACCTTTAAGATATTTTTTATTTTCAAAGCCTATCACTATGTTTTATTGTTTTTATCGCCTCTTATATCAGCCTATCATGTACACTGCAACAGTAGGTATTGTTGGTCGACAATATGTTGGAAATGCGACCACTAAACCAGGTGCTGAGCAAGAAGCATGTATCGGAGCACTAGCAGTGAGTTCAGTAAATTATATATATATATATATATATATATATATATATATATATAATGGCTTTATTCCAAACAGTATTTTTGATACAAAGTGGAGTTTTCAGCATGTAACACAATATTGCATGTAGGTTTCTCTTTAGATATGATAGAGAAGATTTGTAGCTCAGGTGGATGATTTTGATGTGGTTTTGTTCTCTGAGCTGGATGGTTAATTTGCGAAGCTTTCATCACCCTACTGGGTGACATCTTCAGCGCATACTTCAATTTGAAGTGAGCTTTTAGATTTCTCCACGAGTTTATTAATCATCTCTCCCGGTGACCTTGGACGTGATTGGTTGTTTATGTGCGTTTTCACACCTTCTAGGTTACTTGTATTGGAACTGATTGTTTCTTTGACTTGAACTTTGACCCTTTGTGTGTGAAGTTCCTTTCTTATTGGTTGATAAATTTTGTCTATCTCGATGTGTCTATTGATTGATGATTCACTGGAATGCCAAGCTTCTAAAAATTCTCTAGCATTCTTGTTGTTTCCTCTGTCTAATATTTGAACGTTGTCCCAGTCGAATTGATGTCCGTGGTTGTCTGTGTGTAGTGAAATGAGGGAGTGGATATCATGTCTTTTGACGGCTAGCTTATGTTCGTGGATACGAAGACGAAGGGGACGTCCACTTTGGCCAATGTAGTGTTTTTCGCAGTTGTTACAGTTTATTTTGTAGATGATGTTGGTTTTATCTTCTTTCGCTGTTGAGTCTTTTGGTTGACATAGAATTGAGTGAAGCGACTTTGTTGGTTTGTGTACGACGTCAATTCCTAAAGGTTTGAAGAGTCTTGTGGTAATTTCTGAGATATCCTTTATATATGGTAAGGCGATTTTCTTTGTGTTCTCCTTGGTGGCTTTTGCTTTGGTAGGTTGGCTTGGAGGTATATGTTTTTTGATGAAATTCCGTGGATATCCATTCTTTTGGAAGACGTCCATGAGATACTTTTCTTCAATTTTCCTTAAGGTGGGAGTGCTGCAGTGAGTCCTTGCTCTCTTGAATAGTGTTTGTATGCAATTCCTTTTGTGTGTTATTGGGTTGTTGCTGTTGTAATTCAGGATTTGGTCTGTGTGAGTTGATTTCCTATAAACTTGAGTTTCTAATTCCCCTGTGGTTGTTCGCCTGACTAAGACGTCCAAAAATGGTATTTTGTTCTCGGATTCCTCTTCTCTTGTGAATTTGATGTCGTTGAAGACGTTGTTTATTAAGTTGTGAGTTTTATCTAATTCGTTTCTTTTGATTATTACAAATGTGTCGTCGACGTAGCGTATCCAAATCTTGGGTTTGATCTTTGGTAGAATTATGTTTTCGAGTCTTTGCATCACTGCTTCTGCAATCAAACCTGATATTGGCGATCCCATGGGTGTTCCTTTGACTTGTTCATATATTTGGCCGTTGAATTGGAAGTATGTTGTTAGGCATAGATTTATGCATTCCATCCAGCTTGTGTGTTGCATTTTTGATTGTTGTGGAAGTTGTTCGTCGTTGCTAAGTAATTGCTCCATGGTTTCTTTTGCTAGTTTTTGTCCGATGGAGGTATATAATGCTGTCACGTCGAAGGATACCATTATTTCTTGTTCATCTATTTGGATACCTCTGATTTTCTCTAGGAATTGGATAGCAGAGTTGATGGAGTGATCGCAAGATTCCGTTAGGTGTTTTAGTTTTCTGTATAATTCTTTGGATAAATTATATGTTGGAGTTCCTGGGAGTGATACAATTGGTCGTAACGGGATATTTGCCTTGTGTATTTTGGGTCTGCCGTAGAATCGAGGTAGGACTGGTCCATTGGATTTCATTCGCCATTGGTCTTGTTTTGTGATCTGTCCAGTTTTGATGAGCTTGTTTAAGGTCCTTTGGATGCGGTTATCCAATGTTTGTATGGGATTTGTTGGGAGTTGTTGATATACATCTTCATCTTTGAGTAGTTCTTCAGCTTTCTTGGTGTATTCTTCTCTGTCCATGACTACTGTTGTTCTTCCTTTGTCGGCTGGTAAAATGACGATGTCCTTCCTATTTTTCAGCTTTTTGAGATGTATATCAACAACACTCCATGTAGCATACAAAGTGAGAGAAGAGATTAGGAAGAGAGATTCAAAAGAAATGTCAGTAAGCAGAAGTGTGGGGCAAAAAGAATAGTAATATACAAGAACAAAATATATTTATTGGATATGATGAATCACAAAGAGTAAACGCATCTGTACCACTGAGAACAATTTTGAGCCCTATCACTGATTGTCCCCAGTTATTGCTTTTTACCAGGAAATCTACACCTCCCGACGTGGCTTAAACTAACAGTTGTGAATCTCATTGACTGATGCCATGTTTTGGTTTAACCACAAATGGCTTTTTGCCAACTGCATCCTATTTCAACTAACATTGCCTGTTGAGGAAGTCTACGGCTAGGCATACGCAACACATATCCTAACCATCTCAACAGATGTAACTTTACAAGCTCTTTGGTTGTTTTCCCCTTCTAATCTAGCACTCGTCGCCTAACCTCAATATTGCTCACCTTATTATGCCACTTAACCCGGGGAATAAAACTCACATACCTATGATCAAAGACAGCTAGCCTGGATTTTTATATCTTCCACTTCCAATATCCACTATATATCACAGCCATAAAGGAGAACGGAGCGGACTGCTGAGTATTACACACGCCCTTTGGTCGACAGCCGGATATCATGTCTACGCCAGAGACGGCGTAGTTGGCATATGCGAAACGAGCCTTCTGTATCCATACTGAAATTTTGTCAGCAATCAACCCACTGGCGTTAGCTGATGCAAGTCCCCAAATAAGTGAAGTGATAAACACACTCCACCACTTCACTCCCTACTTTTAAGCTAGGAATAATCGATGTAGTCCAGTCCTGTAACATCATCTCATATTTGACGGGAGCAAATCGCATGCCAAATATTCGAAGGTTTCTGCTGCAGGTGTTTAGCAGACTTTGCATTTCCTCAGCATCTTCACCTAGAACGGAGGAGCATATCTGCACATTCTAAGTCAACGAGACTATTATACCCTGGTAACAAGTCATCCCCTGAATCACTTAAGTCAATTAGGGTTAATTCCATCAGTAAATGTATGATGAAATGAAACAGAAATGGGGACAGTGGACATCCCTGACGGATACCACTGGTTATCACTAGGCTCTCATCTAGCTTAAGAATTCGAGTAGAATACCGTGAGCGGCGCAATGTATTCTCCTGGCATTCCGTTCACAACTAAACATCGCCATAGTACTTCTCGGTCCACAGAATCGAATGCAGCTTTCAAGTCAAAAAAATATGACAATTGTTAGACTCCTGTAAGTATGCCTATGTTCCAGAATCTGCCGAAGGGTGAAGATATGATCAGCCATATATATATATATATATATATATATATATATATATATATATATATGGTTGCAATGATGTCTGTATATCGTTCAGATGTATCACATTAAGGTAGATGAAGCTACCTGTTTTGTTTTTCTTAGTTTCCCGACTTTTTTGTGTGGGTTACCAGTCCCAGATTTTAATTTTGAAACCACTTTTTACACACACACACACACAAGGGAATAATAATATTAAAATACTTGCCACTTATCAGTAGGTCAACACTATTCACCAACATCTTGTGCCACTTATCGTACTATCTATCAGGTTATTCTTACTCATCCAAATAGATTTACCTTGTTTTAATTAAAATCAAGTTTACATTAACCTATACACTCTTGAATTTAGTGATTTTTAAAGAAAATTTGAAAATCTTATTCAACGGATTTCAACAGAAATATCATATAAAACGGTAAAATGTTTAAGTGCTTATAAGCCAAGTAATTCATTTAGTCAATGTTTTCAATGAAAAATGTTTGAATGAAGATGTCATTAGAACATTAACAACTACTCACTAGTAGCATGGTTAGACACTGTGTAATTTTCATAGGATATTTATGTAACTAGATAATGTGCTATCTAAAATATGAATTAGAATATGTATATACATTTCCCATTTGAACCGTTTTAATCGTTTCTGAATACTTTGCAAACTTTCGTTTCAAATTGATAAAGTGAAGTGTTAGTAATTAGTTTGGTAGTGTTAGTCAGCATCGACTTCTGGTGTGTGTGTGGAGGTATATCTCTCACTCTAAAACAAGGTATCAAGTTATTTTTATGACTCAGCAAAGTTAGTAATGTTATGATTGCGGTTGGTTGTATCTGCTTGGAAAGGCATTGCGATTGACTGGATTGCATTGTTTCACCAATAAGTTATTTATTACGACATTAATTCTACTGATGGTTTACAGGGGTTTGACTGATTTCAAGATTGATCAAGGATCATTATCAGTTAGAAAACGATTAAAAACTATGAAGTACTGGACGGCTTTTTTACCCTATTTTGGGAATCTTAAGCGGTACGTACCCGTAACGCCACCATGGATCGAACCCCAGGGCCTTTGGTTTTTGAGGCGAGCTTGTTTGACTATTCAGCCACTGAGTTAGATTCCAGTAACTCATGAATTCTATCTCCTGCCATTTCGCGATTACTCAGAAGATATGCTGTCCCATCAATTGACTTATTAATTAATTAGTACTACATCTGCCGATCTACCTGGTTTACTTAGCATTTTATCTTTTCCTAGCTTTGTGATGTTGTTAATTCAGCGGTAGTAACACCTAAGAAAGATCTAATTAAAAACATAATCTTCTATCTATGTTCTGTCGATACCTTCGGAAGTGGATGCAACTTCCAGGAGATGAAAATTCGTCTCAGTTAGGTGGCTATAGATATGTGTATATGATAAAATGGTCGTTTACTGTAATCAAATTTCTTTTTGACTATTGTTCTAAACATCTCAATGGCATACACTAATCATATTTTAACTAGTACTTTTTTTAATATTAAAGATAAATAATTTTCATAGTAATTCTGTTGTTCTTGTTGAAAAATTTAGGCTCTACAACGGTCTCTCTTGTCCTTCATCAAAAGACAGAAAACGAAGAAAGGAGTAGTTGATGATTCCAACATAAATATTTGTCAATACATCCATCCAGAGTCACCATCATGGAGATTACGTATTCTCTCCGGGTTGCATTTTATTTATCCGCGTTTTAAGGTAATGAAAGTACTTATGGCAGATTGTATAATTGTTCTCTCCATTTGGGTCTTACTCACTTAGTGACAGTTGATGCTTTTTAAAATTTTATTTTAAGAAATTTCCAATCTCTTTTTGTCTCAGTAACAGTATAACAAGCGTTAATTAACGGAAAATATCTGAGTTCCACTCTGGTTTGTCCTAAATGCTGTTTACTCACCATATATGATATAACATAGTCGAGTTCAGTTTTTTCTCTTAGTACATACGCTACTCATATGTTAACCTTCAAAATTCAAAGCTGGCGAACGCTAATTCTAGTTAACTCAAATAATGGAGAAGATTTGTAGTTCAGATGGATAAAAGACAATTAGTTTGCAGTGGTTGCCTGTATTTTTAAATAATTTTTGTCTTCAAATCAATTTTATACGTGACTTGTCATTCGTTTAGTTCGCATTCACCAACTGAATATACCTACAGGTGTCCGGTCATTGTCAGTGTTCGCCTCATGACACGAATCTTGTTATTCACGAGGTGCATCAGCGTCTAGCTGATTGGTACCAAATAAGGGGAAACGTACACGGCGTGGATTCTGTTGCTAGCCACCTGCATAAAAGTTATTTCACGTTATTCATCTTGGTAATATCTAGGCATATTCGTTCAAGGAACCCATACATCTCAAAAAGACTGTTTAGTTTGGTCTTAAGGTGAACTATCAGTTAACATTAATCTAATAAACTGATGGAAACATGTTCACAGTGAAGACAAACAGCTGCAGCATACATACTAGCCTTCGAGTTTGTGTGACACTAGACATATATCATCTGCGAAATCCAAATCTTCTAGAATCCTCTTATCGATGGTCCAGCGTATTCCTATCTCTACACTCCCCACAATCTGACGCATAATCCAGTTGACCACCGTTAAGAATACCATCAGTGATAATAGGCAGCCTTGTCTTAATCATGTATTCATTTAAAACGCCTTGCTGAGTTTTCCGTTGTGGATCACCTGACACATGCCACTGTCATATAGCTGTTGAATAAGGTTGATAAAGACTTGAGGTACACCGTAGTGTTGAAGTAGTTTCCAAATCACGTCTCCGTCAACGCTGTTTGTCGAAGACCTTTTCGAACTCCATGAAGTTGAGGGAGAGTTTTGACTGCCATTCTATGCTTTGTTTGATGACGATGCGTAGAGTTGCAATTTGATCACCACATTTATTGTGTAACTAGTCTTAATGAAAGCAAGAACAGATTTTCTTGCATACAGTTTAAACCGCTCACGATATCCTTTTCACAAGTAATTTGTATAAGTAAATATCTGTAATAGCTAAAGGACATTACAGTTAAACAGCCCGTGGAACATGCAGATATTTTAGCGGAAAATAAGAGTAAACAGTTTCAAGAAGTTTTTTATGTTTAAGCATTCACTAAAACTGGTCACATTGGAATCAGATTTCCAATGGTCTAGGTCACCATAGAGCCGTCACGCTTTCTGGAGTACTTTTGTAGATTATCCTAAGTTAACAGTAGAGTTAAGGCAGTTGCTCAGACCATTAATTACTGACCAAATGGAGGTTAGGAATTGGAATATGTTGTCAGAATTTGTTATAGATGTGTAGAAGTCAGCAAGCTTCCAGTTACCAAGCGGATGTGGAATTTATCATGCAAGCTGACTTCTTTTGTATAAGTCTTCAATCCATATCTACTGATGTTTGTAGAATATCTCTATGGTTCATTGGTTTAGTCTCTCAACCTCCCCCAGTGGGTCACGAGCGTAAACCCTGCCTCAGGTATGAGATTTGGGCAACCAGATAGTATCACTGGACCTGAGATGTGGCTCATTCTCAAGTGCATGCAATTGTGCGTGGTTGTAGTAGACCTTTACTTTCAGTTCATTCAACCTTGAATGATTAACAGTCTAATGAGTTATTCATGTTTTGCTGTATTTCTTCTTTCTATCCTTTTAACTGTTTTATCGATTGGTCATGTCCGATACTTCATCTTTTCGCCTTTTGAGGAAGCGCACAGTCATTTCCATGTTTTCATATTTTGAGTTTTTTTTCTGCTTATCATTATCTTTTATCATTTTCTACAGACTATCGTACTTTTAAATTCGGTTGTCCCCTCATCATGGTTGAAATTGGTTTTTCAAAAATAATTTTGGTAGTTATTTCAATCGTAGCTGCTCCTTAGGAGGAAAATCTAATATTTATCAGTGGCATTTTGATGCTCTTGAAGGTAACTTCACTAATGTTTTCTCAATTAGCACTTTAGTAGTGAAATAAAAATCAGTTAAGGAATCCAGACTGCATCAAGCGATGGACTAGACACATGAAAACATTTACTCCCTGGTGTCCAACCGAAGTATCCATTAAACTCCTGCAGAAGGTTAATCACGAGCCCAAATACATCAGTGATAATGTCTCTGACTGCAGCACTGGGTGACCCGGGTTCGAATCTTAGAAGGGAATTGATTTCCTTCAAGGTTGCACATACGCCTTGCTAACTGGTTAGTGTCAACTAGCACGAAACCTGGTTGGAAGGCTTCCTGTGGCGGATTGCCTCCAACCATTTAACAGCAATCCAGAGTGCACCATAATGGTGAGCCATTTAGAATGGTGGTTACATTATGAACCTGATTGACAGAATTCAGCACGCACCAAACAGAGGGCCAGACACATAACATTAATTACTACCTAATGTCCAATGGAAGTATTTCTTAACATACACAGTAATTATTTCTTATCTGATTTTGCTAATATATCCCGATGGAGATATTTTATTGATACAATTTCATTGTAATCAGAAGTTATCTTTGGAGAAGACAAATAACTCTTCTATAGTCAAAATCAGGCCTCCAAAGCCTCAGGATAGTCGGGGGTGGGTGCCTTGCGCTGCGGGTTGGCCACCCCTCCGTACACCTCTTGAAATGCCTCCATATGACCGGCGTCTTACATAGCCTCTCCTGAGGAAGTCCTACTCACTGCCTTCACGTGGTGGAGGTGTTTTTCACCGAAGTGAGAGGGCAAAAGTAGATGTCCGGGGCTCTTCACCGGGTTGACTGTCCATTGGATGACAGTCTAGGGGAGATGGCTAAACCCTGATTCCAAACCTCCAACGACTGGCGTATGAAGCTCACCGGAGCTCACCGGCAGACGTATGGACAAAGGGCTTATTGGATGCCCTGGTTGTCTGGCCCCATTCAAAAGGCGTATGAACCGGACTCCGGTCACCGGCTGGCTGCCAATGGATAGTGGACTCCCTATTTCACTCCTACTGCCTTGTAGGTCACACTTGGTTGTGTAAAGGCTAGAGCTGCACTCTCAAACAAAAGGGCGAGCGATGCTGGGGACATCACTCGTACCTAATTCCCATGAAACTTCATGAACTCATGTTCATGAGGCCGGCTCATCCTCCCGTAGGAGATAGCTAAAGTAAAGTAAAGTAAGTAAGTATAGTCAAAATCAGGAAACCAAGAAACATCTCCTCGCTTGTGATTACCAGACGCGGTAACCATCGACACTAAAAGTCCCTTTTTATACCCAGCTATTTTTATATTTTCTTCGCTGGTTTACTCAGTTTTTTTGTAATTTCCTAGACCTTCCACTTTTTGATCATAAAATTTACTACAACATGCAATACGATTTCAATAACAGTCACACCCTTATTTCTTTGTTTAGAAGTCGTATACATTATTCAATAGTCACAGGGCTTAAATATTTTTTTGCGAAAGGAAGAGCCACTTATGCAAATTACTATAATCTGTGGTATGATTGGCTAACTGTTATATTTCCACATATGCTTGAGTTTTTTCTTTATATATGAGAAGCAGTCTTCTTCTTCTATTATATCGGTTTGTTTATAACGTCTTTGGAGCGCTTATCACATCAAGACAATCAAAATCCGCCTTTCTTTTAAAACTTTGTAGTATGCTATTCTTTCATTATTATTTGTAACAGAATAACTATCGTCCTGAAGACAATGAAGAAAGACCGCATTCTTAAGTTGCTGTTCGTCACTGTTATTATTATTGTTCCCTCGGGTTCCAAGTAGAATATAGGACTTCAACTCCACGTCTCCATTTGCTTCTGTCTTCTGCTGTACTTTTCACATGCATCCATGTTAGTCCATACTGTTTCAACTCCTCTTCATACGATCTCCTCCATGTCACCCTTCCACTGACGTCCCACTCGCCGCTTCCCTTTCGGCCTGGTTCCCCCCAGCAATGGCCTGACGCGCGATGTCACGCAGTGGTCTCCTCAGCGAGAGTCCAATCCATCTCCATTTTCTCCTGTATATTTGTTGCTTGGCGATTGGTTCTTGTTTTGTTTGTTCCCAGCCATAATTTCTTGTTGGTGATTCTTTCCGGCCTGGCCGGCCATCTGATCTTCAGTAGAGAGCCAGCGAAGACAGTTGCTGGTTGATAAAGGTGTGCAACAGGCTGTTGGAAATATTCTTTGTGATCCGCCCGCCAACTTTCTGATCCATATAGAAGAACTGATTGACTTGACGTGTTTGTATTGAAAATCCGACTGAATTTTGTTGTTGATGGTGGCTGAGTGACGAAGATTTCCAGATTGATTTCAGGTTAGTGAATATGTTTCTCGCCTTCCCGATTCTCGCTCGATTTGGCATCCTCATCCGTTCCGACTTCCTGTAGTTGAGACAATGGTCCCTAGATAAGTGAATGAAGTAACCTCTTTCGAATCCCTCCCGTTGATGGGGATTGGCGCTGGATGTTTCTGAAGTTGTTGTTGTTGTTGTTGTTAGTTATTTTCATCACCTCCGTCTTGTCTATGTTCACATGGAATCCAGTCTTCGCCGGCTGCTTCTTCGACCAGTTTGTCGGTTTTCGCTTGTAAGTCTTCGATTTTATGAGTCATCGCTGATGATGTCACCAAACTTGATGAATAAACGTTCACGGTCAAATATCAAATCTTGGGGAACAAAGAATTTCTAAGGACGTGGTCGTTGTTTCAAAAAGCAACAACAGCAGTAAGATGACAGTCATCAGTTACTCTACACATAAGTGTAAGTGGTCGTTTACTCTTTAATTAATGATGAACTTGATGGTTATATTTTTATAAAGAATATCGAAATTTAGTGATTTAACTAAAAGGCTATCGATTACTTTTTTTGTTGCGTATGGTTTATTCAACAATTTCATTTCCCTATTTTTCAATAGGTCAAAAAGTCAACTGGTTGTGAACCGAGTGGATATACCTGTACATGTTTGTTAGATGGTTGGGGGTCTACTGAAAGTTTGTCGATGTCAGCAAAGAAGGCGCAAGATTCCGCTGCTCAAGCAATGCTAAATAAGTTAAATCAAACTGAAAATAAATGTTCTACAGTCCAGTTGTCTAATCGAGACTCAAATGCTGCATCTCAGTGTGTACACAGAAAGAATGTTAAGTCAGGCAAGGTATGCTATCTCATTTGTCTGTCTGTCTGTTTTCGACATAGAACTTTGCACAAATGTGTGGAAGTTCAAGTCGCCACACTCCGTGTAGCACGCGAAGCAAGAGAAGAAAGTACAAGAAAAGCATAATAGAAACAGTGAGCAGAGGTGTGAGACAAAGGAAGAGTAATAACGAAGGACAAAACAGTTTCATTGGAGATCATAAGTCACAAGGAGTGGATGCATCTGCGACGGCCATTGAGAACGATTTTGAGCCATGTCACCAATTGTTTCCAACCATAGATTTTTACCGTCCCGAGGACCCCACCCACGAAGTCTACACCTTTCTACGTGGCTTAGACCAACTGTTGTGGATTTCATTGACTGATGCCAAGTTTTTGTTTGACCGCCGCTAGCTTTTTTCCAGCCTGACCCTATATCCGCTAACATTGCTCGTCGAGGGAGGTGATGGCTTGGCATACGTAACACATGTCCTAACCATCTCAGTCTTTGTAACTTCACGACTTCGTCGATTGATTTCCCCTGTTTACCTAGAACTCTACGCCTAACCTCCATGTTGCTCACCTTATTATGCCACTTTACACGGGAAATAGAACGCAGGCACCTATGATCAAAGACAGCTAGTCTTTTCATGTCTTCCACTCTCAGTGGCCAGGTCTCACAACCATAAAGGAGGACGGAGCGGACTGATGAGCAGTACACCCGCCCTTTGGTCGATAGTCGAACATCTCGTCTACGCCAGAGTCGGCGTAAACTAACAAATGCGAAACGAGCCCCTTGTATTCGTGCTGAGATTTCGTCAGAGATCAGCCTGTTGGGGCTGATGGTACTTCCCAGGTACTTCCCTCTATCTCATCTAGGCATACATTTTTTAACTAAGGAGTTGAATTTTGGTTGTAGTGATTTAAAATGACTAAAAGTGAGGCACCTTAAATACATAATGATAATTTCGAGGGTTGCTAGCTAACTTTAGCTTAACAACGAAGACAATTAAGGATAATGGTCGTCGACATACTAAGTAAAACCAGTAAAAGCCCAATAAAACAGAATATTAATGTTATCAATATTTGCCTAAATATATAAAGCTTTAGTACAAGTGCCGCACTGTAATTGATTTCGATTATCTTGCGCACCTCAGTTAGGAAGTCTTTATTTCCCAACATCTATCGGATTAACAGTCAGAAAACTGTTAAGAACTGTGAAATTACGTATGACATATGACTTACCTTTTCTCCTCATAACTTTGTTTTTGTTTGGGTGGGTGCGTACTGCTGATGATTCTAAAACTAGGACGAAACAGCTGTCCAGTACTCCCAGGTTTTCCAATGGTTCTCTAACCAATGTCAGCTCATGATGAAATCATGTAACCAATCAACCAAATACCTACAAACCAGTACTTGAATGTTCGAAATTGTTTTGCACCAATCAATTTGTTGTCGCCGGGACATTATAAGCCCCCGTTTAACAATCCACTCATCTTCGCATTCGGGTGGTTTTTGTGGTGAGTGGTCAAGGTTGTCGTTGAGGTATAAGCAAATTGTAGGAGAAAATTACTTAGCTTCATAATTACGTCATATATATGGACCTATCAAAACCGAGTTAAACTTTAAGCACCACTAACTACCAATCAGCGAATGACCTTGAATGGTCCAATGAGTCTCATCCACGTGAGTTGAAGGTTCTATTCCACTTGATTCGAGTTAAGTGCCTGCTCTTACGCAGTTGCACTTGCAGTTTAGTGAGGATAAGGTTTTCTAGTATTGTTTGGATGTAGGATTGCTTAGGATGGAAAGGATTTGTTCATGTAGAGGTGTCATGAGTATAAAAAGCTTCAGGAGGTCAGTTGATGGATATGTTCATCATTGTGCAATTTTTTTGAGATGGGTTAGTGTCAGGGAATGGTAAGCTAATGATTCTAATATTTTTTAGGAACATTTATTTGCCAGATCCCATATGTCCTTAACCCAGGTATTTGTAATCGTTGAGTTTTAAAGCAGCCTGTGAGAGGTGCAGCTGCTGAAACTGAAAATAGCGTCGTATCAACAGTTCAGTGGTACCAGCACTGCATAGACATCGCTTCATGGAAAACGGAGAGAATTGCTTCGTTATTAGGAGGAGAAGGTGTCGTCGTACACTTGGACAAAACTGTCATATTGAGGAAAAAATACAACCGTGGTTGAGAACGAGCGAATAATGTTTAGGTGATTGGTTTATATGATGCCTCTCTACAGAAAGGATTCGTCGAGAAAAACAGCGGACAGAAAGTTAACTACCTTAGTACCTATTATCACTAGTCTGTCTGTTTTCGACATAGAACTTTGCACCGATGTCCACCAGTTCAAGTCGCTACACTGCGTCCTTGTAGCACACAAAGCAAAAGAAGAAGGTGGAAGAGATGCATAATAGACACAGTAAACAGAGGTTTGAGACAAAGAAATAGTAATAACGAAGAACAAAACAGTTTCATTGGAAATCATAAGTGACAAGGAGTGGATGCATGTGCACCAGCCATTGAGAACAATTTTGAGCCATACCACAAATTGTTTCCAACCATTGGCTTTTACCGTCCCGAGGACCCCAACCAGTCAGCATATCTGCACCTTCCTACGCGACTGGCTTAAACTAATTGTTGTGGATTTCATTGACTGGTGAGGCCATGTTTTGGTTTGACCGCCGCTAGCTTTTTTCAATCTGACCCTATATCAGCTAACATTGCCCATTGTCGAAGAAGGCAATGACTAGGCATACGTAACACATTTCCTAACCATCTCAGTCTATGTAACTTCACAACGTCGTCGATTGATTTCTCCTGCTTACCTAGAACTCACTAGACTGGTGAAACGGATCTATAATACACACCAATGAGTGGGAAGGTTATAACTCCCTGTCTTCCCTTGGATACATTCATTACAGAGTGAACGATTCTAATGATTTTGTGTATCCTCTTATAGGGACACTCACCAATTCTATAGAAGGGAAGGTTAAAAAACAGGATTAGAGCTATAAATGGATCTCAAAAGGATGTCATTTATAGTCATTTGGATGAATATATGTGCAGAATGTGGTGTAACCTTTCATTTGATACTCTTGTGTTAAACCAGGGGGATGTTTTTTCACATGTCAGAGAAAGATACCCTATGTAATAGTTTTATGCAGTTTTCCATAACCAAAAGTGCCTGTTTCATGTGATTCGTTCGTTGGAGGTCATTCGCCGATTGGTAGTTAGTGATGCTTAAAGTGTAACTTCACCCCTATCAAGTCGACCATAGGGAGTGTATTAAAAACTATATTGACTTTTGCCATACTACATTAAGCTTTACTGTAGTCTGTTCTTAATTCATTGCAAAAACCCGTAATATGTTTGGAGTAAATTAATTTCCCTACTTGGAAGTATATCCTTCTTAACTAATTTGTGTTCTGTGAATGCAATCGTTTTTTAAAGTATTACTGAAAGGGAACCCAGTCAATATTAAACCATCTGCTCAGATAACTGATGTGCCGAAATGCATCAATCGTCTTTGTTTATTGAAAACGATGGAAGGTTATAGGCATCAAAAATAACAATGGGTAATGTCTGCTTATGTAAACTACTGGATGGTAATAAAGTAAGGAGTGCTAGATCCAGATCCGAATAAGGACATTATCATCTGATGCTCTAGGATTAAAATCAGCTGGCTACTTTCAAGTGGGACGGATCATAACTCTTGAACTCCACTGGTATCCACAATAAAAATTTTGTATGCTCACTTAATTTTTCTACGTATTTTGGCTTCTCTTATCTCTCACCTTTGTTATTGTTATTTTCAGGCTAAATTACAATTGAATCTTAATCGTGCAACTGATCAATCGGTACATCCTGTGTGTAGATTAGAGTGCTTTAGAGCTTCAAAGCGTTTAGATAAAATAAAATATACACTGTTAAATGAACAACTGCAGAGTGGAATACAGGGCTCTCTGGTATCTGGGCGATCATCATTTGTTTATCAGGTTAGTGAGTGGAAATTGATGTTTTAGTGTTTCCATGCCTTGCTATCCTATCACGCCAAGAGACAACAGTGTATCATGCATGCTCTATGATAGATTCTGTGAATTCATAAAATCTCATTTCTGTATACCTTTTTTCTAATATTTAGTCTTTTTGTTCACTATGTTTATTCAACAGACAAGTGAAAGATTATTTCTTTTTTTTTATTGACAGTTGATATTTTTTATGGTTAAGTATCTTTCAACTAATAATGATTAAAAAAAGGAAGGTAAATAAATGGACAATACTGTTTTCTTTCAAGTTTTATCTCGGATTGATATCATGGAGTACTGGAGGGCTGTTTCGTCCCAGTTTGTTACTCTTCTAAGGTACGCACCCACTACCTCATCGCCAGGGATTGAACCCAGGACCTTCAGGTTGCTAGGGGCACTCGTCGGGCATTCAAACTTAGTTTCAATCCAATGGCTGATGAATTCTAACTTCTGTTTGATATTAGATGAAGTCATGGGCGCGTACTGATAACGAGTTCCTAACTGAGACGAGATAGCTGTTCAATACTCCCTGATTTCAGTGATTCTCTAACTAACATTGATCTGTGACTAAACTCGAGACTAATTACATCCCTACAAATGTCCAAGTTAAACTTTTGTGCATCACTAAATACCAGTGGAGCGCAAACGTACCAATCAACTTGAAACGATCATTGAGCAAGTTAGTGAAACCTGGCAAATAATGTTATCATCATCAACGAAATATGCCTATCAAAGGGTCATGCTATTAAATGAGATATCTGGCAAGTTTCAGTTTAGGTTTGGGAAAGATTAAGTTACCCTTTAAGCCAAGGACAAGTTAGGGTTAGCTTAACGTAATAAAAGAGACATTTAAGATTGGTTCGAATTAGATTACAGTTATTTTCGGGATATTTTCACTCTAAGGTCAGGTTCAGGAAAGATTAGGGTTATTGTTAGGGTTAGAAGACCTAAATAATTACATGCACAGAATGTGGTCAACTCGTTCTGTTGATATAAGAATGGACCTTGTGCACTGTGGTATAGTTCCATTGCCGATAAAATTTATTTTGATAAAGTCCCATCAGTAATATTTACAGATGACGTTTCGAGCACAGAAAATATTTCTGTATTACACTATAAGACTTTATCAAAATAAATTTTATCCGCAGTGGAATTATACTCTGTTGATACTCCAACCCAAAACTGAGGGCTATTTTTATCACATGCGAGAGCAAGGTATCCCCTGTAACACTTTTCTACAGTTTTTATGCATTATTTCATAAATATATATGTATTCCATACACAAAAATGCCTCCTTCACGTGATTGGTACGTTCGAGGTCACTCACTGATTGGTAGTTGGTGGTGCTTAAAGTTTAACTTTGCCCTACAAATTAACATTAAGTTTTAACATCCATGAACAGTTTTATTTTGGTATGTTCGTATGATGATGATGATGACCTGACCAAAGCAAAGTTTCTTACTAGGTCATCGCATTCTTAGTATCCAAATTATTGAGATTGTTCCTAAACAGTACTGTTAATACAACGGTAAACAAAATAACAATAACTGCTGTTGGATTTTCCAATGTCATCAAAAATAACATTAGTTAACTTCTACAGTCAACAGTGAAGTTTGTAGAGGTTATAATCTGAAAGGTGGAAGCTCATTATCGTAATACACTGAATGATCAAATAGCCGAGGTTAATCTCCAGACAAAATCTGTTCTCAGGCAGACACAACCAACTGGTAGAACTTTCACCTTTTTTAACTGATTTCTAAACTTTGCTTTCAAGAAAGACTTGTAAATCGACAGAAAAAGCCTTTGTCCACTAACACAATGTAGCTTAACTTAGAAGAAAATAAACCGTTGTATCGCATTCGAATGCAAGTAGTATGAATTACGTTATGAGAAAAAAGCGAAATTTTTGTAGTTAGCTTTTGCACTGCAAAGTAGTGGTGGTTGAGAAGATCAGCATTTCTTTATAGTTTCGAACATTAACATCACAAGAATATTCACATCAAGAAGACAGTTGCAGCGAAGAAAATTTTCTTTTCGACGAAGTCATCATCTAGGCTGTACATTTGTGTGTTTATATCAAATGGATGGGAAAGTTCCAGAATGATTTCCGGTTAAGGGTCAAATTAATAAAAAATACAATTGGGAATTAGAATGCCATAATAAACAGGGGGACGGATAAAACAAACAAAGTAGCATCATAATTACTGCGAAGATTGACATACTGTGCAATTAGGGGTTAGAAATGTAGAAATAACAAAATAGACAGAATGTTTGGATAAAAACTAATGTGATGAATAATTGTTTAAGCAATCAGGGATTAAATAAGTAGAAATAGTAAGGTGACAAAATAAACACGAAGTTCGGATATGAAAATATGGTAGTGTAAACAGGGATTAAGAAAAACTTAAAATAACATGAATAAACAGGAAGTTTAGATAAGAAAGGCGATGGGATGGTCATTCACATCCTTATTCTATTTTTAGTAGACTTGGGGACAACATCAACGAGATACTATCACAGCGCCTTAGAAATGCGGTAAAAAGAGTATTCCCTGCTGCCGACTTACACTGTGTCTTCAAAACCACTCCTCTTTTGCGTTCGGGAGTAAAAGATAAACTGCCTAATTTCTCCTCTTCCATGTGCATCTACCAATTTAACTGCTCCTGTGGAGCCAGTTACATAGGCCGTACAATTGGGTGTGTTTCTCGTCGAATTTCCGAACATCACCGTGTAAGGTTAAGTAAAGGAGAAACAAAATCTATTCGCAGTGCTATTCTATCTCATATTGTGGATGCAGAACACAAGATTGATGTTAACCAGGCTTTCAGGGTCATTTACCACATACCAACAAATCTCAATTTCGCCTTAAGAGTTCGTCGCTGAGGTCGTTGGGATCCACATTAAGAAGTCTAATTTGTGCGTCAAAAAGAAGTTAGTTCTGACATTATCCTTACCTTGGCCGTCTAGGTTCTAATGATCCTCTATTTTTGTGGAATTTTCCTAATTTTAGTTCATATTCTATTTACTACTACGTCTTTTTTATTATTATTATTTAAGCATCTTTGATGAACTGTAATTCCATTGATCTTACTTTACAAATCGATATTATTTAAAAAACACTAATATTGTTATTGACTACTAGTCTAGAATATTATGTATATATATAATTGTAGAGCCAGAAGAGGAAATTATCCTTTCCTCAATTATTTTGTGTGTTTTAGACTTGAATCACACAGACATCACAGCTGTGTTAAATTTAAATACTAAATATGCGGGACATGGTGAGTTATAATAAAGTTATGCTTCACATACCTCTCTGATGACTTTTCTGTTAAGGGCGCATACTGAAATAAACATCTCTGGATCGTTTTAGACCTTTCATTTATAAGAGGTAAACAAGAAGTTGGTGGAAGATTAAAATCATTGCGAAATTCTATACTAGGTCTTGCCAACTAACGCATATATATATATATTTAATGAGATGTTATGTAAATTAACATAAAACCTTGTAGAGATGTGTTTAGTTCAGGTTACCACGGTTAGAAATAGTATATAAATAAGTAGGAAGGGAACTTAAATAAGACTTTATTACAACAGACAGTAGTAACTTAGTGTAGTAAGGGGCTGAGTAAACAATTAAAAGATCTGACAGTGCGTTGGAAGACTAAAAATGTGAATACACATCTGTACTACCTGAAGGTTTCGTATATCAGTGGTTCAGGGTTGGAACTCTGGCCATCAGCCACGCACGTGCTCCGGCGTCGACTATCGGCTGACGTACTCCTGAACCTCACCTATTCTGCTAGCTGGTAGTAAGCCGGAAAAAAGGGACGGTTGAGTGTGAGGCTAGAAACTTCAGCCATATATAAATAAAATCATGACTACTGAAAATTCAAAGTAAGCTATTCGAAATGCAAAGGAATGAAATATAACTTGAAGGTTTCAGGTTGGCACTGAGTTCTTCTGATCATTAACTTTTTGTCATAGTCATACGAAGTGTACCCTTTTTGCACGACCTAACTTCATTGTCATGTTTTCGTTTATGGCCTCTAAGTTTATTTTTTACCTATGACTATTGAAGGTAAGATTGTTGATGAAGGAAGGCTTTCGATCGATATACTCTACATCACACATTCACAGTTTCATCTACTAATTTCTTTTCTTCTTTTCTTAACGCTTTGCGTATAATATTGATATTGTTCACCTCGTGGTTCTACCTCACATGACCATTGCTCTGAAAATATCTTTGTGCACAAAATTTTGGTTGTGTTGTCTCTACATATATGAATATGAGCCCTTTTTACATTCGTCTATGTTTCCAGTGGAACATAGGGCTTCCAGCTAGAGGCGGTGAAGTTTCGGTAGCAGTTGTGTTTATATTTACCGGATGGGGTTAGCCCCATGCCTAACCTTCGCTCTGTACCAGTCTGATCATCGGCTTAGCGAGGTAAGGGAGTGTGTCAGCTGGTGATCGAACCACGGACCAGATGCGTGGTTGGTAATCATTCTACCGTTTGCCATCGACGCATTATGAAAATGAGCCTAAGAGTGATGAATTCAAATTATGAAAGAAGCAAGTGTGAAAATGTAAGTATTGTTTCCATTCCCACATCACACCTTAATGTGAAAATATTAAAACTAAGCTAAGTCAGAGTAGAGGGATGCAAAACAAACCTTCTTCAGATACGAAGATTTACAAGATTTCCAGCTTTTATTGTTATTATAGTGAAAGTTACATTGAAAAATTATTGTATTCATATTTATTTTAACTACCAGATTGAATTTTTAAACGAATGTATCCAAGGTCCTGCAGCTAATAATAAACGTTTGGCTAAACGACTTGCTGCTGAAGCACTATTGACAAAATTGGGATTATCTAGTGAAAAATTACCCGAAGTAAAAAGTGCTTTACGAATAGCAGAGGTTCCGTTTCCTGATAATGATGATGCGGAGAATAGCTTGAGACATTCATCTCACGGTAAGCTGGTAGTATTCTCAAAGTGTTTTTGTATTCACTTTTTAGTGTAGATTTCGTCGCTAACTGATGTCAGTTAAAGGAAAATTGGAGCCAAGAAGCACTGGACAGCTGTTTTGTCCGTGTGTGGGACTCTTCAGGAATGCTCGCCTGTGGCCTCACTGGGGGTCGGGTTCCATACCTTTAGTTTACAATACCAGCCCGCTGACCATTGTAACTTTTACCGGTGATTTTCTAACTGATTTCGGTTCACGGTGAACTTTACATTGAAATTACTCTAAATCCCCACGATACTCAAAGATTTGAATAGGAATTTGGGTGGTTATTGGGGTATCGTAATGTGAGGTAAATGACATAAGCACGATAATTAAGTGATTCCGAGTGAACATGACGAAAATGCATGTTGATGTGGCAAAGTACTGATTGCATGAAGCTATATATACTTCAATACTATCACATGTGATGGGTGCAGGACATCAAGTCGACACGAGCAGAGCTTTTAAAGTTATTTATAGCATTTAACCCAGTCGTTCGCCTGCTGTATGAGTACGACTTTCACATGTGGCAATTAATTATCTAATTTTATTCTTTTGCATTCCTAGTGGAATTCTGGGCATCAGACTTGAGCTCTGAAGTTTCAGTAACAGTAGTGTTTGTTTTTTTACGTGATGGGGTTGCTGGCCTCACATCCAACGTTCCCTACGTACCGAAATTATTTACTGACTAGTCTAGGTTTCGGGTGCGTTAGCCGAAAATCGGACCCCGGACCACGTGCTTAGTTGGTGGGTGTTCTACCACTGAGCCAACGATGTGAGGTTAGAAGTCTGATGCTTTACTGACTGAGCTAACCGGGTCAAAGGCCATCGGAATTCTTCTAAACAAGCCAAGTGTATGTTCTTTTTCGGTGATTATATTCACCCCTGCTATATGCGTCAACAATTTGCACTAAGTGTTGGTATTCAGTTTCTGTGAATGTCAGGGTTTGTTTGTCGTAGTCTACGCAATACTGTTGTTTTATCTTTGTGTTTTTGTGAAACAATAGTCTTAGACCAAAAATATGTGAGTGAACAACTGTCTCCAGTGTCTACATCTCTGAGTTCTGCAGTGATAAATTCATTAATGCCGTTGTCACATAGTAGGTGATAAAAGTAAAAATGAAGTTGTAGTACAGTATGTATTACAGTGGGTAGAGTTAAATGCAGTTGAATTGAAAGATAAAATGGTAAGCAATTAATTTTGATAGTAGTTCGATTGCATACAAAATGCACACTGGTGTTCTAAAGAAATCTCACCTAAATATACAGAAAAAATGTACCAAACTCACTTATTTGTATAACACTAAGCATAACTTAACGAAAAATCCTAACCGTAGAAAGCCATGCTAACTAAGATGTCAATTCTGACCAGCATAATAGAGTTGAGTTAAAACAATTCGCCTGAAGTTGATTTAACATATACACTTATGATTATATCCTCTTGCCTATAATATATCATTTAAGGAGTGCTTCATACATATTTATGAAGTCATTTTCAATTTCTGACTTTTGTATTTAAAGGCTTGAACTGTTTAATGTGAAACAGTTACTTTTTGTGTTAAAATGGTCAGTTTTATCCTATATCAATAAGATATTATAACTTTTAGCAGTGGCTATGGTATCTTGCAGTTCTGCACACAACGAAATCGTCTGCTACTTTTACTATAATTTCTAACTTGAAAGCTCCCATCCAAAATAGGATTTTCAAAAGTACAGTATAACTGTTATAGTGAATCGGTCAAATGAGGTCTCTATAATCACTTTAATAAAGGTTCCAACAATCGATTTAGTTACATTTGGTGTTAATTTATTTGGTTTATTAGTTTACTTTATCTATGTGTGTGTGTGTGTGTTGGTGGCGCAGAGGTTGGGTGCTCGCTAGTCACTCGGATGGTCTGAAGTTCGACCCTCAGCCGAAGCACTCCCAAACCTCGCTTAGCTGCTGACAAGCGTGGCAAAGAGGGGAGGTTGCTCGTTAGACTACTAATCTCACCCGGTAAAAATAAAACCACTGCTATCTAAATTTCAAAGCTCTAGCTTGAAGCCCTATGTTCCACTGGGAACTCAAAGAAATAAAAAAAGTTATGTATATGTGGTGACCATTAAGCAAATAATTAAATCAAATTTTTTTCTCAACTTAATTAGGTAATCCTGTCCCCGCGGAAAACAACGATAACGGAGGTAGATCAGGGTGCCTACCGAATCAAATGGTTCACAGCAAGGTAAGGTGTATTAATTCTCTTGTATACCATTTCCACTACACCGTTGTTTATGGAGCTTGTTTAATACATGTAGTTACTATGTTTGGGACCATTTTGTATTTATACTTACAGTGGGCCTAGTAGGGACTAGGGATAACTAAAGCATGTCCGTCAATGCATTATACTGATCTGATATTCTATTTATATTAAGAAACACCGAAGATCTTTTATCAGAAGTTTTTCATCCGTAATTGTAAATCACATTCCGCATATCTGCTTTCATTTTTTTGTTACTGGCCAGATAGGTTTGTTTATGCAGAATTAATCTTTATTGTTTTTACTGGCATGATAAACCTGATGATGAGGAAGTGTGCAGTCTTCTCCTGAAGCTGCTTTCATAGACCCAACGGTCTACAGTCTCTACCGGCTAAGTATTATGAAACACTTATAACTATTTCTACCAAATTGCAAAGAAAAATTGAAATATATTGGTCGTTGAGGATGAGAAATCCACTTAGGAGTAACAGTAAAAGTGATCTTCAGGGTTTTTTAAAAGAAGAAATAAGGTATAACCTGTTTCTGATAATAAAAACCATAGAAAACAGAGCTTCTGATGCTACTATGCTCTCTGGCTGATTAACATTCGTCTTCAGTCAGCCGTCTCCTAAGACTGTTTTATATGTACTTTTCTTTTTGTTAAACGTAAAACAGCTGTCCAGTACTTCCTGGTTTTATTTTTGAAGTTCCATTTCTAAAGTTGGTTCGTAGTCAACTTTGGAATAATATTTTAGGTAAACTCAAAGTACTATGTTGACATGATCAAAATTGATCTTCCAAAACACTGATAATGTATCTAGTCTTTTTGATCGCTTTAAACGTTGGTATTATCGTTGCAGTCTTCATTACTATTCCAGATTTTTGTTTTACAATGCAAAAACAGCTTTCAGTAACTACTTATTCCCCCTTTAATTTTTGAGAATCTACATGCAATGCTCTGCATTCATGATTATTATTATTATTATTTATTTTTCTAGGATTATCATGTGAATTTTAGTTGTACCAGTGATACTTTTGTCTTCAGCGAAGAAGACGAAGGGAAATGCAGTTCATTGGGCAGACGAAATTCTCATCCCGTACAAAAGTAAAGATAGTTTCTTAAATTTAATTTTTATAACTATATAAGTTGTCTTTAGCAGTAATTTTATCCAATTAGATTATCGTTTTTTTATTACAATTAGGGAATGCAAATATTGAATTCATATACAAGTTTCATTTTGATATCAACAAGTTAAACCGTAGTCCTACGACATTGAATATAGATAGATTGAATAGCAAATTATTCGCAACTGTCGGCTGATACCTTTTCTTGTAATTTGGTTGATGGTGACTATCAGTGGTATCCAGGATGTGCCTTTCGTCCAACTCGTGACTCGTCATCCAGATGTACCTGCGATCTCCTAATGAGTGATGGTTTCCTCATTGAGACTGGTACCAAGGACCCGTAGTTTCAAAGCATTATCCACTAGGCTACTTAGCTTTTAAAACTACAGATGCTGGTTTCGAGTTTCAAATAGAGCCACATTACAGTTCGAATTTTTTCGAAAGAGTTTTTTAGAATCCCATTGTGTAACATCTATACGACGGTATCTGATATATGCAGTAATAATTTAACAAGGCGTAATTTTTACTGCGAAAAGTAGTAGCTGGGGACAGTGAACAGTGTAGATAATAGATGCTGCCTACCAGATAAAGTCGCATGTTGGCAGCGAACTGCATCACTACGAAGTCAAAAAAAGACAAGCAGAATATGGATTACTGTATTTTCTGCTAATCTTCCAGTGCATCTCATTTGCGACATTTTGATCACTTAAAGTAAGATAAATATGCGCTAATTTACTTTTTGGATGAAAATAAACTTTTTAATGTCTCTGCAGATTTTTGATATCTCGTCACTTTAGAGCACATATCTCGACTGAAGGCTAGTGAATACGACTAATTGATGGAAAGTCTTGGGGCTTGGACCAATGAGCCACATTATCATACAAATAAGCCAAGGACTAACTGATAAAATGAATCCAGTGATGAATTTTAAGTTTAAATTAAGTGGTTCGTTCATTAGCCTATAGATCTTTGATGTTTATGAATAATATTTGTTCAGTGTTGTATTTTTTTGTACTTCCCGTTGATTGATTATGTTGTGACGAAGTTGACAAGTTGGCTCCCAGTACACAGATGCTTCAGTAATGCCTGAGGGGATTAACATGATGTTGTTGATTTGCTGGATGCTGAATAGTAGTAGTGGAATCCAGAATATGCACTTCGTCCTGCTTGAGACTTGTCTGCTGAGTATACCCGTAATTTCCGATGATTGATGGTGTGTTCCCTTTGGGAACTCGAACCCCACACTCATCGTTCCAAATGCCACTTAGATGCTGCGCTTCCCGGGTTCCCACTCCTAGTCATCATCCATCAAATAACTTTAATGAACAATATTTTATGTATTTTTCTATATTTGGTAATTTTGATAAACACAAAATTAACATACCGTTTTTTTTCAAAATTTTGTTTTATTAGGAAAGATGTAAAGTCAAAAGTGCTATACAATAAACAAAATCCTCGTTCTTATTCAAGTATGAATCTTTCAATGAATGAAATGCATAACTTCATGCAAAACCATTATACTTCATCAACATCATCTCGTCTTTCATTGGTTAGTAGTAGTAGTAGTAAGCTAATTTATTACTCTTATTTATGTGACCTATACCACATTTATCAATTGATTATATGTCGTCGATCGGTGTAGTTTTCCTCTTAATAACTTTGATTCCATCTACTTTAATCAATAATAAAAAAGGTTTGGACCTGATTCTAATTTATCACTGTTATCATGTTAATCATGGCTTACACTGCGTCGGTGGCACAGTGGTCAGGACTGTCGCCAACAATCCACATGGTCCGGGGTTCGATCCCCGGCCGATACACATCCGATATCTATGGTCGCCCTGCTAAATTTAGGCTACGATATCACATGCTTAAAAGTTCCATACCTGTACCAAAAAATACGCTGTGGAATCAAGCGGTAATCAAAAAAACCAACAACAAAAAAGTCTGCTCCAGCATAAGACGTTTCACAGAAGTGCAGCAGCTAACGTGGCTACAATCCATGTGGCATACAGAGGTGTGGAGAAGAGTTTCAGGAAAATTATAATGAACAGAAATACGTTAAAAAAAAGAATAGTAACATAATAATTTTTTTAATAATAATAATTTGCTTTATTCCAAAACAGTACTTGTGATACAGAATGGAATTCTCAGCATTTTACTACAGTATTGCATCCAGTTAGTACATTGTCAATAAATAAAATTCTACATAGAATAAGGAAATCTCAGTTCATTATGACAACAACATATCGGCATGTCGGTAGCAAAGCCCAAATTGAACAGATTCTTTGAAGGTGTTAGAAAAGTAGATGTTAGCATATTTACTAGTGAAAGCAGAAGAAAGAAACAAAGGACCGCATACCAGAGAAACAAAGAGAGACAAAAGGAAAAGAAAGAAAGAAAACGTTGTACCTATAAATGATTTGAGTTGAAAAGACGAGATCCACTTGTTCTACTGACTATTTAATAAGTTAAAAGGTTCACGCCTAATGCTTTCTTTATCGCACAGAACACGAGCTAAGTAGGGTATGGTTGAGTTTTTGTATTTGCTAGTGCGAGCATATAGTTTTTTATATAGGCTTCTGGTTTTGCCTGATGAGATACAAGGGTAGAGTTGTGAATAAAGAGGGTGGTGTGAGTTAGATAAAATGGATTTAGCCTATTTTTCACATGAGTCCATGTGCCTGTCGACCAGAATATTAACAAGCTGGTTAAGTGACGCGTTGCTTACCCTGCTGACAACCTTTAACATCCTGCGTAATAAGGTATAATCTTTCTTCAGTAGCCCCGGAAAAACTAAGAGGGAACAATACAGAATAATAGGCAGGATGTAAGAGTTAACGAATTGTAGGAGTAAGGGTCGGGTTATTCCAGAATGTCTTAACTTCTTGATGTAGAAGGTAAGACAGAATATTTTCTTAGAAATCATCAAGATATGAGACGACGAGGAAAGATCATCAGATAGAATGACGCCAAGATATTTAATTTTCGACTTAGTCTCTATTTCAGTGCCATCTATGTTGGACACCTCGTGAGTGATAACCAGTTTGTTTAGGTCAGATTTATGCCTAAAGGTGAAACTGACTGTTTGGCATTTAGATGGGTTTAAGGTAAGACCGTTTTCCTTGGACCACTGGCTGATTTCTGATAAAAAGCCATTTAGTTTGGAGCCGTCACTTTGACAGCTAACAGGCAAAGATACAGTCAGGTCGTCAGCATATTTGACAAAATTAATCCCATTTGAAGATGGTAGGTCTTGTAGAAAGAACATTGGGAAACATAAGGGTTGAATAGATATAGTGTATTAACAGAAGGTGAGACACGCAATCCAAGGTATATTTTCAACTGATCAAACAACTATTTATGTATACATGCATTTTATATTTTCTTCAACCAATCACTGAGTGTGTGATTTGGCTTACATAAAACAGCATGTTCAAATACATATATAGTATTCTGTTGCTATTGTGCCGTATTGAACTTTGGGAATAGGTGAGAATAATATTCCGTTGGAACACATTGCCCGTATCACACACCACCACAATAGCAGATCACGAAGAATGAGTTCATCTATGCCATTGAGAACGATTTTAATATGTAGAAAATGTACCCTGAATCCGGATATTTGTCATCTCCAAATATAATATATATACTCTGATTTAGTTTCCAAACTATAAAATAGCATGTTCCTACAATAATTTTTCATCTTATCTAGTACTTTTTCAGTTTCTTCTCTTGTTTACTGTTCTGATTGTTTAATTTTTTTCTTTTGTTTTTTGTTGACTAATTTTAGCCAAATTCAACATCTGATAGAGAACACAACAAAAATTACAAGGATTTTGGTGTCTTCGATAAAACCATTGGTTATTGGACAGGTTTGTTTATTATCTATCTATTGACAAGTGGGTATTGTTTCTGAATAGATGTGTGTGAATGAGAAATATTTGCACAATTCGACGTGTGATAGCAGATAGAACTAGTGATTAGATGAGATTTGTAAACTCACGAATCTCAGTTTATATGTGTAACTGAAGTATTTAAGCGTTTTGTTTTAATATTACATAAAGATGTGATGCAGACACTGTATATACAGTCAGATATGAACATAAGAAAAGTCTAGAAATGTACTTATTTGTTGTGGTTATTACTAAAAGTTAAGTTGATTTTAGCCATCACTGCCACCAACAGTACACTTTGAGATTGTTCTCATTTGATTCTGGGGGTCCATTGTATTGTTGAAATGGTCTGCTGAAGTTACTTCATATTGATTATTTCATTGGATATATCACACAGTAAAACAGTATTATTTACTGGATATTTACTTATATGAGCGAAATATTCCCATTATTGAGTCATAAGAAAAAGGCACAAACAGCGAAGAAAATTTTCTTTCGACAATTCATTTTCATGAGCTGTACAATCGTAATTATGATTAACAAAGAAATCTTTAGACCAGTCAGATACTGGTAAACTTTGTCCTTGAAAAATTGTATTACATAATGTGAGGCGTAAGAAGGGATGACTAATTGTAAGTTAAAAAGGAGACAGAAGTTGGTATGACGTAATAAGTGTGAGATAATGACTAATCAATAAGCTCGTGTAGAATGGACAGAAACTAGTGGAAAGGCTATAAAGTGCTTTTGTATAAAATCTGTATGAAAAAGTGATGTTATTAATAAACAGTAATAGTGTAACAACAGAAGAAAAGGACCAGGCAATAAATCGTTTATTAAGGAAATCAGTACGTATTTATATATATTTCACGTACATTGTTATAGCTTATTCAAGCAGACAAACACAGTCTTCTGATTGGTTGTTTCTTGCCCAAGGTTATTCTGTACTGCTTGTGACTGGTTTCTCAGAAAGTTAAGCCATATATCTACAAGTCGTATTTGCCCACGTTAAGTCTGCTGTGATTGGTTGATGAATCAGTCTTTCTCACGGCCAATATTAGCGACATAGATACTGACGTAAATTAATGTCTACCAGTTGGCTAGCAGCCTGCTCTCACCACAATAGAGTGGTAATAAAATGTGGATGGTGGGAATAATAATGATAATAAAAGTATTAAGAAAAATAATAATAATAGTGAACTTACATAATGAAGGAAAGAAGCAAAATTGTAGTAAGAACTTTACTCTGGCCGTGGTAGGGCAAGAGGATGTATGTATCGTTTTTGTTTGCACAGGTCCGGTTTCAGATCTCAAATAGCTAATGCTTCAGCTATGTACAGATGGCGTATCCGAAGTCCCTTTGTAAGATATTGAGGGACTCTGTGTAACACTGTGAAGCATTCATCTCGATGTCCGGAGATGACAAAGTGTTCGAGGATCCGTTTATTAATAACACTTTATTTTTTATTTTGATCACAGCTTGATTCCACACGTATTTTTAGTACAAGTATGTAATATTCAGCATATAATATCGGTAGCCCAAATTTCGCAGGCTGACCATTGATATCAGGTGCGCGTCAGCAGGAGATGGAACCCCGGACCATGTGCATGGTCGGTGAGAGTCCTGTGCCACCGACGAACTTTTTCATACAGATTTTATACAAAAGCACTTTATAGCCTTTCCACTAGTTTCTGTCCATTCTACACGAGCTTATTGATTAGTCATTATCTCACACTTATTACGTCATGCCAACTTCTGTCTCCTTTTTAACTTACAATTAGTCATCCCTTCTTACGCCTCACATTATGTAATACAATTTTTCAAGGACAAAGTTTACCAGTATCTGACTGGTCTAAAGATTTCTTTGTTAATCATAATTACGATTGTACAGCTCATGAAAATGAATTGTCGAAAAGAAAATTTTCTTCGCTGTTTGTGCCTTATTATCATTTACTCATATATTCAAACGGGATATAAGAATTCTGGGTTTACTCCATCCTATGTTAGTAAGGATGGGATTGATGAAATTTCTATGTAATAGAGCCAAGTACCAAGGTAAATCTAAGGCAGCAAGTAAGGCAATATAAGAGAAGCTTTAATACTTCATAATCACCCCGATAAACTAATCAGAAATTATGCGGGAAATTTTTGAAAATAAAACTCATAATAAACTAATAATAACTAATAAAGGTGATATGTACGACCAAAATGAGCAGAAGGACGACAACACCAACAATAGAGAATTCAAAACATCATTAGTGCCAGCATATTAAATGAAGTTAGCTTTGGAGAATAATGGAAAGTCATGCTAAAAGAAAAAAAGGAATGGCAAGAGTGCAGAGCCTTGAAGCACACCAGTTTCCTTTAGCAACGAAGTGGAGTGCTTTCCACTCGAAACAGTATGTAGTTTTCTACCCAAAAAAAAGAATTAATAAGACAGCCAACTTGTGACCTAGGGCTCAGTGTTTGTTGAAATCAGCTTGCTTAGTAAAAGTTCCCTGGGGACAGGGTCAAAAGCAGTAGTGTAGTCTAAAAGGGAGGCTCGAAAAAACTTTGCTCCTTTATCACTTATTCATTCTTGTTAAGTTGCACTACTTACTACTAAAACATGTACGCTCATATAGACAGATTTTAACTGATCGACCTAAGCAAATTAGTTCATCATTCCAGGTCATGGGCAGTTATTGACAGCGAAAATGGATATGTTTTATCCTGTCCAAGTGATGGGTTTGCTTTAAGCCTTCTTGGGGAGTTTTTAAAGTGATGATAACTACTTTAAATGAGAACCTTTTTATTCTATAACGAGACAAAACGTCCTAAGACATTTTTTCTGTTCCTGTAGACTCTAAGAAGCTGAAATGCAGTCTTAAAACCTGTTCTCAAAGCATCTCAGAAAACGACTTGTCTGGAAACCACTGGCATCGGAAACCAGATCGCTTGTTTGATAGTGCATTCCCTAATGTTTCCCTCAACTGTACACATATAAAAACGAATATAAGACTACAGCTTTTAGCTCGTGTCGCTGCCTATTGTTTGAAAGAACATGTTTCTAATCCTTCACTACCAATGAATACAAAAAAAGGATTACCTGGAGGCGAAAATGTTAGTTTGGTTGACCAGTTGGTCCTTTTGTGCAAGCGTCTTTCAGTGCCTTGTCATTTCATCGATTACCCTCCTACTTTTTACACTGGGCACAAGGTATGTTATCCTGCAGTTGTGATACTATCTTTTTTTTACTATTCTATTACACTATGATAGCAGCGGTTTCCAAAGTACCTATTACATGCTTGTCAGAAAGTGTTCCCAAGTTTAAACGTATTGTTTTATGATATCGACTAGTTACAAGCATGACTGTATTATATGACCGTTGTTACAAGGATAAACTTATGAGGATTATAATTCTAAATATGATATAAAAATGTCAAAGGTGTTAACGGATTTAAGTGTAAACTTACTGAAAACTTAAAAATAGGGTTATAAGCTAGCTACACGTGATCAAAACATGAATAAAAGCATAAGTGCACTGTTCTGTTCCCAAAAAGATATAAAAGTGTAAAGATTGAAAAAGTTGAAGTTAATTGTGACTACCCGAGCTCAGTATAGAAACAAAGATTGCACATTTAATTCTGATTTCTTTATGCCTACGCGTATACGTACGACAATAGTAGAGTTCTGAAACACATCATTCTCAGCAAATTCATTTCCGCGTTGTAACAACGACTCATTTGTGATGCTGTCATTAATTTTCAATTTGAGTCCTGGATTTATATTAGTTAGGGAACCGTTGCAAACCAGAATGCACTGGGACAGTTGTTTCGTTCTAGATCGGGACTCTTCAACAGTCCGCATCCAGGACACTCAGGTTAAGAGGTGAGCTTGTTGCCCATTCAGCCCCTGGGACTGAATCTTATGGCCCATGGATTTCAACCTTTATCCATTAGCTATTTTGATAAATTCACTGATATCTCTGTGTAATCACACAATATCTTCAACGGCACACAAAAGGATTCCTGCTTTGCAATTACACTTCCATATTTAACATTTCAGACTTTATCGTCGCTTTATCACGATGTCGGACAGGGATATTCTGTCACAGTATATGCTGTGATTCTGTTATGCAACCATGGTATGGTACAGAAGAAATATAGCTGTTTATATGTCCCAATTTAATAGTTTGGGCATTGAATATATGATATCCATAATTTGGTACTTTTCAATGGAATCTTGTAATTTGTGGTTTAATATTACTTCCATAGATCTACTAGCGAAACGTTAGCAAAAACAGTTTCGTTTTAATTCATTCGGAATAATAAAAAAATTGTATATTAAGAAATAGGACTGTGTTGAATAACTCGACTCTGCCTCATATAAAGAATTTCAACTCTCTATTCTGAAAAGAATATAACGCTCATAAAATCACACGATGCTGACAACAGATTAATGGGTGTGCATCGTCTAATCACACAAAAGACTAATCGTGGATTTCGTTTGTTGCATTCATTACCTATTACTCCCTTGGGTTCCAAATGGAACGTAGGGCACATCTCCACTTAATACTGTTCTTTTTAATTTCGTTTAGCTGGCTCCACGATTGCTCATAAGTCTTCATTTTCTCGTCACATAATCTCCTCCATATCGCCCTTGGACACCCAACTCGTCGTTTCCCATTCGCATCCTACTTGAAGACCTGTCGAATGGTGTCACTCAGCGGTCTCCCTAGCGTATGTCCAATTCATCATCATCATTTCCTTTAGCATATTTGTTGAGCAATCATTTCTTGATTGGTACGCTACCGGGATCCTTTTTGGCTAACTGATCTTCAGTATAGAACCAAGGCATCAGTCGATGAAAGTGTGCAATCTGTTTTCGAAATGCTCTTTGTGACGCACCAAGTGTCTAAAAAAACACGGGCTTCATATGTGTTAAAAACTCGGATCTTGTTCGTTCTGCATAGTACATAGTAGGTTTCCCTGCTAGTTTCAAACTGACGGACGTCTGTTTAACTTTCGTGACTCTGGATAGCACCAAAATCTTCATTCGTGCAGTCTGTAGTTGAAAGAATGTTGCCTAGATGAGTGAAAGTGGTGACTTCTCGTTTCTCCTGTTTATATCAATTGATGAACACTGATTGATTATTATATTATTATTGTTCCCTTGGGTTCCTAGTGGAACATGGGGCTTCAACTGAACGTCCCCACTTCCTTCTATCTTCTGCTGTACTTTTCACCTGCATCCATGTTAGTCCATACTGTTTCAACTCCTCTTACACACGATCTCCTCCATGTCACCCTTGCACTGACGACTCACTCGCCGCTTCCCTTTCGGGTTACACTCGAGAAATGGCCTGACGCGCGCGTGATGTCACCCAGCGGCCTCCTCAGCGAGTGTCCAATCCATCTCCACTTTCTCCTGCACATTTGTTGGGCGATTGTTTTTTGTTTTGTTTGTTCCCAGCCATAGTTTCTTGTTGGTGATTCTTTCCGGCCCGGCCATCTGATCTTCAATATAGAGCCAGCGAAGACAGTTCTTGGTTGATAAGGTTCTGCAACAGGCTGTTGGAAATATTCTTTGTGACCCTCCCGCCAAGTTTCTGATCCGTATAGAAGAACTGACTTGATGTTCGTATTGAACTGATTGATTATATGTGACTATAACTGATTCTGTTATGTGTTGTACTTTAGTGTAATGCACTTCCTTATCAGTAGTGATCATGCTTTGTTAACATGCATATTGACCAGTCAATATCTCCTCTTTTTTCAAATTTATATATACATTATCTCATTATTATTACTTCCTATCTACCTTACTGTATAGAAACAAAAAGAAGTTGATTTAAGACAATTCGAATACACAGTTATCCTATTAGTTGGTATAAATCCTACAAATTGTATTACAACACTGAATTATTATTCACAAATGAATGATGGTTATATATCAGTGAAGGCTTCAGATTATACAAGAAGTATAGCTAGACAAAAAGCTGTTCAACTAGTGGTTCAGTGTTTAGCAAAATTAATTGAATAACTTCGGAATGTGATATGTGGTTTTATTTGTTTTGAATGTAAAAGTATACATTTTATGTGAGTGAACTCTTTACTTACTTAGTCTTTATTTGAACAAATGCATTTATTTATTTATTTAGTCATAATTTTCAATTTTATAGTTGTCATACTGATTAAGTGATGTATATTTTGATCCCTTATGAGCATTTATTCGTATTACTTCTCTACTGTTTTGCATATTTGACATATACATTTTTGGAGTGTGGTGAGGGGTGGAAATGAAAATTGACTTCATGATTGATAACAATGTGCTTTCTTTGCTTACTAATAACTGTTTGTGATGATAAGACGACATAATGATAATAATAATTCACGCCTTTTAGAAATAAATTGAAAAGAAACCGACTACGTAATCTAAATGTAGTGCTTACTAATTCCGGGGACAGTTATTTGATTTTCCATGTACCTACGCTGCCTTGTTTGTTGCGGTCACTATGCTGATATTTTCTGTCAGATTTATGGACAACAGGAGCAGCGATCAATTGAAATGTTGTTAAAAAATGCGCAAGTGGAAATCATAAGATTTGACCAACATCTTTAGTCGATTAAAAAAACTAAAAGAAGAAATGTGTTTGGTGGAAGACGATATTATGAGGCCTCACTGATCGACTGGTTTCAACGTAGAACTTTGCACAGACGCGCAGCAGTTCAAGTTGTCACACAAAGCAAGAGAAGCCAGTGGAGAGAGGTTCAAAAAAGAGATAATAAACAGATATACGTCTAACATTTTCAATAGCCATGTCTCACAGCCATAAACGAGGGTGGAGCAGACTGCTGAGCATTACACACACCCTTTGGTCGACAGCCGGATATCACACCTGCGCCAGAGATGGCGTAAGTTGGCATATACGAAACGAGCCTTCTGTATCCGTGCTGAAATTTTGTCAACAATCAACCCATTGGCTGATGCTAGTACCCAAATAAGTGAAGTGATAAACACACTCCTCCACTTCACTCCTTGTCTTTAAGCTAGGAGCAAGTCGATGTAGTACAGTTAGTCCTGTAGCCTCATTTCACATGTGACAGGAGCGAATCGCATGCCAAACATTCGAAGATCTCTGTTCAAAGTGTTCAGAAGACTCTGCATTTTGTCAGCGCCTTCACCCAGAAGGGAGAACCATATCATCTGCATATTCTAAGTCAACAAGACTATTATTCCCTGGTAACAAGTCAATGCCTGAGTCTGTCTGTCTGTATTCAACATAGAACTTGGCACCGAAGTGCAGCAGTTTGAGTTGCCACCTTCCAAATAGCACACAGAGGTCTGTCTGTCTGTTTTCGACATAGAACTTTGCACAAATGTGCGGAAGTTCAAGTCGCCACATTCCGTGTAGCACGCGAAGCAAGAGAAGAAAGTACAAGAAAAGCATAATAGAAACAGTGAGCAGAGGTGTGAGACAAAGGAGTAATAAAGAAATACAAAACAGTTTCATTGAAGATCATAAGTCACAGGGAGTGGATGCATCTGCGCCACTGAGAACGATTTTGAGCCATGTCACCAATTGTTTCCAACCATAGATTTTTACCGTCCCGAGGACCCCAGCCTGGAAGTCTACACCTTCCTACGTGGCTTAGACCAACTGTTGTGGATTTCATTGACTGATGCCAAGTTTTTGTTTGACCGCCGCTAGCTTTTTTCCAGCCTGACCCTATATCCGCTAACATTGCTCGTCGAGGGAGGCGATGGCTTGGCATACGTAACACATGTCCTAACCATCTCAGTCGATGTAGCTTCACGACTTCGTCGATTGATTTCCCCTGTTTACCTAGAACTCTACGCCTAACCTCCATGTTGCTCACCTTATTATGCCACTTTACACGGGAAATAGAACGCAGGCACCTATGATCAAAGACAGCTAGTCTTTTCATGTCTTCCACTCTCAGTGGCCAGGTCTCACAACCATAAAGGAGGACGGAGCGGACTGATGAGCAGTACACCCGCCCTTTGGTCGATAGTCGAACATCTCGTCTACGCCAGAGTCGGCGTAAACTAACAAATGCGAAACGAGCCCCTTGTATTCGTGCTGAGATTTCGTCAGAGATCAGCCCGTTGGGGCTGATGGTACTTCCCAAATAAGTGAAGCGGTCAACGTGCTCTACCACTTCACTTCCTATTTTTAAACTAGGCGTCGATGTAGTCCAGTCCTGTAACATCATCTTGCATTTGGCGGGAGCGAATCGCATGCCAAACATTCGTAGATTGCGGCTCAAGGTGTTTAGAAGACTCTGCATTTCGTCAGCGTCTTCGCCTAGAAGGACTATATCGTCTGCATATTCCAAGTCAACGAGATTATTCCCAGGTAGCAAGTCAATCCCTGAATCGCTGAAGTCACCTAGGGTTAAGTCCATTAACACATCTATGATGAAGTTGAATAGAAAAGGAGATAATGGGCATCCTTGACGGACACCACTGGTCGTCATCAGTTCAGATGACAGCTCGCCGTAAGCCCTCACCTGGCTGTATGAGTACGAATAGAGTGCCTTAATCAGTGCAATATATTTTCTTGGAATTCCCTTTACAGCCAAGCATCTCCAGAGAACTTCCCGATCGACAGAGTCGAATGCTGCCTTTAGGTCAAGAAATATAATGACTGTTGGACGCCGGTAGGAATGCCTATGTTCTAGAATCTGTCGGAGGGTGAAGATATGATCAATACACCCTCTTCCTGGTCTAAAGCCTGCCTGGCTCTCTCGTGTTTGTGCTTCCCGAGCACCACTCAGTCTACGCATGATTATTGAGCCTAAGACTTTAGATACTATATTAGTCAAGCTAATCCCTCTGTGATTATCACAGGAAGACTTGTCTCCCTTCTTGTATATGGGGATAATCAGTGACTTACACCAACCCGATGGGACTTCTTCTGATTCCCAAACGCTGCCTAGTACCTCAGTTAATCCGGACAGTAAGCTGTCTCCACCGTACTTAAATACCTCTGGCGTCATTCCATCAGGTCCCGCTGCTTTGCCTAGTTTCAGATTGGTGACAGCTTTAGTAACCTCAGTTAGTGACGGAGGACCTGTATCTATATCCCATTCAGGGAGGTGTTGGATGCTCGGAAGGTTGAGCGTGGCTGTGGGCAAATTAAACTGCTCCTCATAATGCTCTTTCCAACGATCCAGTCGTCTATCCTGTGAGCTAATTATAGTGCCATTTTTTTCCGAGATTGTCTCACTAATGATTTGTCTTCTCCCACCCGTTTCCCTGATGAGTCCAAAGAGTTGCCTGGTGTTGCCTATCCTCAAAGCTTTCTCCATCTCTTTGGCTTTTGTCGCCCACCACTGTTCACGGTCCTTGCGGAGACTTTTCGTAAGTTTCCTCTTGTGCAGCTTTCGCTCCTCATTGAATTCGGAGCTCGCCGGAATAAGTCTTCTAGCATCTATCAGTTCGGATGAGGCGGTGGAGATCCAGTGGTTTTTACTCACCTTTGGGTTTACCTTATTCACAGCTTTTACAGCTGTATCTATGGCTGCCTGGATATTTTTCCACAGAGGTAGACAAGAAGATGAGTGAAGAGAATCAATACAGTCTGACAAGTAGAAGAGTGAAACATAATGGTAATGGTAGAAAGGATATGAAAGATTACAGAGACGGAATACATCTGCGCTGGCCATTGACAACGATTTTGAGCCATGTCACCTATTGTCTCCAGCCATTGATTCCTAGAGTCCCGAGGGCCCCAACCCGGAAGTCTGCATCTCCCTACCTACCTGACTCAGTTTAACTGTCAAGGATTTCATGGATTGATGAGGCCATGTTTTTGTTTGGCCACCACTTACTCTTTTCCAACCTGCACCTATATCAGCTAGTAATGCCCATCGGGGGAGGCGATGGTTAGTATGGGCAACACGTGACCTAGCCATCTCAATCTATGTAACTTTATAGCCTCGTCGATTGATTTTCCCTCTTTGCCCAACACTCTACGCCTAACGTCAACATTACTTACCTTATTAAACCACCTAACATGAGAAAGAGATCGCAGACATCTATGATCAAAAGCAGTCAACCTTTTCATGTCTTCAACTCGTATTGGCCATGTTTCAGAGCCATAGAGAAGGACGGAGCGAACTGCTGAGCAGTACACACGTCCCTTGGTTGATAACCGGATGTCACGCCTACGCCAGAGATGGTGTAAGTCAGCGAAAGTAGCTCGAGCTTTTCGGATCCGTGCTGAGATTTCATCGCCAATCAGTCCGTTGGTGCTAATACAACTTCCCAAGTAGGTGAAGCGGTCAACATGTTCTATCACTTCACTCCCTATCACACTAAGCCAGCATAGTGTAAGAAAGATCCTTACAGAATTCCGGTAACTGCTTTTAGTCTAATCGCTATCCCAGCAACCTTCCTGGCATGGTAAGACCTGCAGGAACATTGGTTCCAGCCAGCGCAGCTTGTTGGATCATCGCGATGTGCAAGTTCGACCACCACGTCAATGTAGCAGCTATCGGTCGTTGTAGATAATCATCAGTTGCATTTCCGTTATGTAAAATGTGAGTGGGATTGTGGAGAAAACTTAATTCATCGATTATTTCAGCTCTTCAGTGGATAGCGAATAAAATTACTTCACATATATTGTCCAATATGAAATATCACTCAACATTTACGCAAGACTTAATGATCACTATTCACATGAAATGAGAATAGCAGATGTGTGTATTATAAACTGTACTAGTTAATTCGATCTACCGACATAAGAAGAACACATCATGTTAAACAACAACAACTTCAGAAAACACTTTTTTCGATATCAGAGTCATGTATATTGACTTTTGTGTATTATTGCTTAGATTTATTATCCATATTATTATGTCCATGACAAACAAACATATAATCAGCAGAATATTGTTTGAAATCAGTGGGATTTATCTAGTTTCACCTCGTCATTAATCGTTAACTTAGCTATCGGTGAAGTTCACGAGACAGCACCACTGATTTCCACAGAAGTAAAACTATCTTGAAAAGACAGGAGTCATGTAGAGAGAGAAGGTGGCTCAGTAGTCATCTGTCAGAATACGTTTCCAATGCTTCATATAACTATAAAGTAATGGCAATTCAAACGCGGGATAGACGTTTTAATGCACAAGAACATAGTCCTACAGGTTGATGTATTTCATTCTTCATAGAAGCTTTAATTCTTGTAACTAGAAAGTAAAAGGATCGCGCCAGAAATAGTTGTTTGACCTATAAATTTACCCACTGATATGTATTTAGCTTATGATGATTCACCATAGCCTAAGAGTGAATTTGAATTGTTTTACTTGTTACTTTGGAGAAATTCTCAAATGTAGCCTTTTTAGCACTAACAGTAATTAGTAATCTGCGGAATAAATACTCAATACACCATTGTGTTTCATTACTGAG